CTTGGCTTTATAATTTTGGTCTGGACCAAAAAAAACTGGAAAAGGGCAGATGAGATACCAAAACCAACATTCTCATAGGCCAGGCAAAGGCATGAGGATGAGATTCAAAGCATAAACAATTTTAGAAATTAAATAAAATAAAGATCAGAATAGACTACCTTACCTTTTACACAATCCGTTAGTATCCCTTCACTTTCTAAATACCCCACCCCTCCTATCTTCCCCATTCGAATCATAAACAACGTGATAGCAAATAAATATATAGATAACTATTTTTGCTTCTTTTTTTTTCCCTCCAGGAGGTCTGATAAATATATTGTGACTCGATTCAATATTTTAAAATATGAAGAAATATGTAAATCGAGTGGAATAAAAAACGTTAATACATTGATTCTAAGCCCTTGTTGAGGACCGAAAAATGAAACCTTTAGAATACTTTTTTTCCCGCCTTGTATTTATTTTTGAAACATCTTAAATCAATCACGAGTTATATTAAACAATTAATATTGATTTTAGAAGTTTACTACTCCTTCTGTCCCATAATTACTGTCCCGTTTCAGTTTTCATTTTTAGTTCAAATAATACTAAAAGTGAAATCTCAAACTGGATAATAATTTTGGGACAGAGGGAGTATAAATTTTAAGAACCATTTCTCCATGAGAAATGCACCTAGTTCAGATCGATTGAACCATGTGAATCTGAGCTTTGGTTTTTTCGGTTTTTTATTCTCAATTACTCCCTCTGTCTTAAAATTATTGTCCAATTTCATATTTCACTTTTAATATAATTAGAACTAAAAATGAAAACCCAAACTGGACAATAATTATGAGACGGAGGAAGTATTTTGCTATTTGAGTGAGTAGGTCGTAGTCCTTAAGAAATCGGGGGTGAAAGAATGACTTAAAAAAACATTACTTGCTTGCTTCGAATTCCTTTTGTGTAAAACTTTCACTTGCAGCTTTATTATTCGGTACAGCACATGCTCATTTATTCTTCTTTACGTAACAATATTTATAAACTATATATACTTATACAGTAGTACCTCATCATACATGTTTCCACATATCCAAAACTTCGAAAATACTGAACAAATACATGGATTTAATTTATTGGGGGAAAATTTAGGGGAAAAAAAAAAGAAATATTAAATCGGAACGAACGTTAATTCATGCGATCAGGATTGGATATTCTGAAAGAGAAATAATCCGGACGAATTTTGTTGTGTCTCTCAATAATTGGTGGTGCAGAATATTCAATAAAAGCTAATATCATTTGAATTACTTATATATATATATATTTTTTTTTTCATGGGATTGAAATTCTTCGTTGATTGAATAATTTCAATCATTTTTTTTAATTTTTTTTGGATGTTACACTACAACAAAAATGGGCTATTAATACCTTTATAGTGGGACACTTTTTCTAAAATGTGTCTCATTATATGTGTATTAGGACATTTGTTAAAAAGTGTCTTATTAAAAATGAAAAAATGTACGCATATTATGAAACACTATCATAAGTGTATCATGTGGGATTGCTTGTGAACTATTACCCTACTTAATGGGTCACTTTAAACTGTCTTAATAAGTGACAATCTAATAATACACTTTCAAATGTTTTATGACTTATTGTGACTCGATTATAAGAGATACTATTTAGTAGTATCTCACGCAATGTGAATCACATGTGTCCTATTACAACACTTATTGAGACACAAAAAAGTGTTTAAACTACTATTTTTGTTGTAGTGTTATAAAAGGAAAAATGGGATCACAAGAATTGTTCTTGACTAATGGTTAAAAAGTTTATGGATGAGTCTATTACCAATAATATAGGTTGTCGTTTTGGCGTTTTGTGTTGTCATTTTGTTTGAAAAAAGAAGATTTCGAGAGAATAATGATTTGTTTTTCTGCTCTCTCTTTTACTTTACTGCAAAAAAATCTTTGTTCCCAAATCATCTTTGTTTTTCTCTTTAGTTTATTCTACTTTGTACTTGCAATATGGGGACCTTTCATTAGGACAAAGATGGAGTTTTGCTATAGCTTGGTCCATCACAAATATTGTTTAGGTCAACTCGAATTATTAATTCATTGTCGGTGATCATGCATTATCTTTCTTTATTACAATTTTTTTTTTTTTTTTGCCTTTTCACGAATTCAGAGTTATACATCTCATTTTGATCGTACCACTAATCCTCCAAAACTAACCATCAGAAACTTGTGTGTGAGCTAACACATTAAAAGATTAAAAGTACACTAGAGGTGAAATTGAACATCCAGACACATTGATAATGAAGATCAAAGAGGAATTTGATACATGTAGCTAGCTAGTGAAGATGAAAAAGAAAATTGAAGGAATATAGAGATGTCGATATATACAATTTTCGTTGAGCTGATTAGTCGTTGGTATTGAAACCAAACAAATGAAAATGATTAAAGAAAGTAAGAAACATAGAAAAAAAAAGGAGGAAATTGAGTGGAAATAGAGGTGCTTAGGTCACTCAGCTGTATTAATTAGTCATTGTTGTCGACGACAGAAATAAATGAAAAAAGAAATTGAAGGGAAGGAGATTGAAGAGGGGGGAGAAAACTGATGAAAGAAGAAGAAAAAAAACAAAAGAGTAACGCATGCATTATATACTACGGACTCTAGGAGTTTAGGCTGATGAAAGTCAGTCAGAAACTGAGCTGATGAAAGAGCAGAGCTCCCACTACCCAAACAAACTATCTTGGATCTGTTTTGTGTTCGTACTCTTTTGTTGAATCCAAGTCTCTTGTGTGTCCAGTGTCTTTACCTGCCTTTTCCATTTTCTCCCAAGGAAAATTCAGAATTAATTCTACACTTTGTTCATCTTTTTTTTTTTTTTTTGTTTTTTAAAAAGGAGATATTATTACCACTTAATGTGAATTTACCACTGTTTTTTGGAAGTCATAATCAACCTCTCAAGAAATACTTATAAAGATAAATCCCCTTTTTGTTAATTTCGTTTTCTAATTTAACAATGTAATCCTTGGAAGCCCTTTAACACGTCAATGACAAGCATTACTGAGTTTCTTTTTTTTTTTTTTTTTTTTACGGGAGAGAGGTTTGGATGAGATGGTAGTACAAGCATTGGCGGATGTATAATGGGGTCATGGGGCCTTGGCCTCCACTGGCCCAACCGCAAGCCTTTTATTATATATATATATTTAGTATTTTAAATAAAAAAATACATTTTTTTGGCAATTTTTTACTTTTATTTTTTTTTGCTTAATTTACATTCTATTAATTCTATATTGGGTTGATTAAATATGATCAATATATGAAATGAATTTGTATCACTTAATAAGTTCTATATGATAAAAGAAAATAAATAAGTTACAAGTTTTGTGAATTATAACTATACTAATGATGCATAAGTTCTTGAATAAATGTTTCTTATTCCATAATTTAGATACTCATCATGTGTTTGAAAGATTTAATTTTTTTTTTCCTTGTTTTGTACATGTGCATGCATGAGTGTAAGTGTTTTTTATTGAAAAAATTTAATGCTTAAAAAAGTTGTGATTTTGGTTATTGATACAATAGTTGTACAAAGAATTTTTAGCTATGAACACAATAATGTATATGTTTGTGTATGAAATACTTAACACTTGAATGATGCATGTGTGGCTTAATTTTTATATGAGAAATATGTTTATAGGACACACTTATGATATGAAAGTGGTTTAAAAAGTCAAAATAAGAAAATTCAATGTGACCAACACTAATAAAATGATGTTATGAAATTCTTTTGGCTAATGTATTCATGACCCCAAGTAAAAATTTGTTCTAGATCCGCTGCTGAGTAGAAGGAATGTAACCATTAATATAAATATCGAGTATCCAACAAAACAAAAATTAAAAACATCTCATGCGTTCAGGATTAAAGGAGAGAAATGGACCATTTTGTAAAGGGTAAGGACAACTGTTTGATTTAAAGGATCATTGGCAGTGTGTATAGGCATCTATATATTACGTTTAATTTCTCCACAAGTTCGAAAAGACAACCCCTTGTGCTTTGGGCATGCATGCTATTCCTTCCTGCTCCACTTTCTGTATTGGACTCGAGGGCTATAGATAGCATTAATCCAACTCTGTATACTTTGGGGAAAAAGAAAAGTCCAATTTGTAAAACTAATTAAAAACGATAAATTAGATGATTTCATCTTTGAAATTAAAAATTCATATGAAAATTGAATATAACATTTTTTTTGATGATAAATGTCATAAGTTCATTTTTAACATTTTAAGTTTTAGATTAACACTAATTTTTCTGGACGAAGGTTACTCCCTGCAGTCTTAACTCAAAGGTGGTAACAATTTTCATCCGAGGATAATCCATAGACATTGGGCTTGTAGGAAACACCTATCATTTTGTCATCAAGTAGTATTTCATTGATGAGGTTTTATTTTCTCAACATACCCAATAAAATATGTTCCGATTATGATAATATTCCACTTAAACTAATTCAGATTCGAGCTGAGTATTATCCGAAAGTGAAGAGGAATTGCATACAAGTTACAACACCCGATCCTCGGACAGCTCTCATGGGAAAAAATGGTGAACACTATTCATGGAAGGTAAGGTACTGTGACAGAGATCTGATATATGACAAGGAGCCGTAAATAGTAACAAATAGATGATGTATAAAACAAATTCACTCAGGTTCTCTTCTTGTCAATAAAGGGTCTGCAGGAAATTGATGCAAGACAAGTCCACACCGGTGTTTTATGCATATTGGTCTTTCATACATGATTATTTTTTTTACTCCTCCCAAATTAATTGTATGGTTTATCTGCTTGTTTCATTTTTTTTTGGATACAATAAAAGAAGGCAAAATGCTTGTTTATATGCTTGTTTCATTTTTCATTAAGTTTTTTCAAAAAATTTTATTAATAAATGTCTCATCCTAATATATTTTTTTTTACATTTTCAATACATTTTTTTTACATTATCAATAAAAAAAATACTAAAAGAACGATCGAAACATAGATAACTAAGATGAGATTCCAAACATAGACAAATAAGATGAGATGAGAGTGTTTTTTTGTTTCTTTCTTTTACTTATTTATTTTCTTTTTGTCAATGGAAGAAGATATGACTAATCATCATCATCATCATCAGCAACTCACTTCGAGGAATTTTTTTCCACATTCAATTTCCTGAATTGAATGCATCCCCAAACACCATTAAATTGGGTGCCTACAACATCTACATCTGCATTTAATGCGAGTAACCCCAGTGCAGCTTGCACAAATTCAGAGGAGAAGCTGATTTGACAAATGAACCCAACCCGTGTTCACGACCGAATTGGCCTCATTTTACTTACCTATGCATATTGCTACTGCCCAACTCACTGGGGTTGAAATGAAACAATAGCCTTTGGGCCATTTGCCTGCTTCCTTAGTCTAATCAACCTGGCTCAGGTTTATATTGACTGTAGCGTGCAAGAAAACACAAAAACAACATATGGTTTTCAGTGCGGTACCCTGAAAACTTCGAGCTAACTGTAGCCTTTCTGCTACATTAACTTTGAAGGTTTCCCAAAGCCAAAACTGTTATACCTACAAATTTTGAACATCATTAATTTAAATTAGACAGTTTCGTTTTCTCTATTCCGAAAGCCAAAACTGTTATACCTACAAACTTTCCAGAGGAGCAAGAGGCAAAAAAATGCAACCTTTCACCCAGGGATTTAAACCTCTCAAAGTTGCGTTAAACAAGTTTGATTAGCCTTAGTTACAACTAATATCCCATACTAACACTGAACAAAAATTCGGCAACCCACACAACCTGGAATCACCTGTACAGTCCACTAAGAGTTCATTTTTTCAGTAACATCTTCCTGAATTCGTCATTGGATTTAGGCTCTTCATCCCCATCATCCTTCGACGCCCCAGGTTTTAAACCAGACTTCCGCAGGGGACGCACAGATCTTGGCACAGCAAATGTGTTCCTCCCTCTAAACTCACCTCTCTCGTCTCGACCCTTTTGGCCCGCAGATTTTGCCTGAAAACCAGCGTTTTCTTGAGATCCAGATGCAATGTGTTTCGAGTCAGATTGTTCAGCATCAACTGCTCGATTGCTGGTAGTACCTGTCATTTTAATTTCTTAAGCTGTAAATAACAGAAGAATTCAAGAATAGGCCAACATGGTGGAGAACAAAAACAGATACACATTTATAAAGGCAGTACACATTAGCCTAAAAATGGTAAGAGAAATATGCCGCTGGAACAGGAGTATGACAACAATCGTACCATGTTCTGAAGTGTTACTAGCAGTTCCTTTCTTCTTGCTTTCACGTGGATTTGACTTTGCAATGCTTATCCTTTTACCCAATAAAGTTTGCTTATTCTTACACAAAGCCACCGCAAGGTGTTCATCATCAATGAAATCCACATAAGCCAATCCCTGAAGGAAATTTGAGCGTGAACGTAAGAATTACTAGAATATCACAAAAGATAATAAATCACTTATCGGAATTTTGTTAGCATTCAGAACTGTGAATTAAAAGGGTTAACTGAATTTCAGTTACCCCTGGATGAAATGGTAAATGAATTAAAATCATAGAGGTCTACAAGGTTAGATAAATGTCATGTTTAAGTATTATATAACCCATGTACAAACTGGATGGTCAGGAAATAGTCAAGCAAGCTTGGCTTGGAAGCATAGATGGTTTTCTTCACTTAGGTATATGCTTGACAACCATAAATCCATTAAAATCAAATGGCAGCCAGTTCAATCTCAGTGTATCTCACATAGTTATTAGGTTAGTATCAGTAATACTACAAACTAGTGAAGACGTGAATCCCCATTATGCTGCTGAATGTTCTATGTGAAATTAAAGAACACCAAAATTTGTGTGTGTGTGTGTGTGTGTGGGTGTGTGTGTGGGTGTGTGGGTGTGTGTGTGTGTGTGTGTGTGTGTCTGTGTGAGAGAGAGAGAGAGAGAGATAGAGAGACAGAGAGAGAGAGAGAGAGAGAGAGACCCTGGAGGTTTTAGTAAATTTGTCTGTTAGGATGCGAATATCAACCACCCCGCCAACATCATCAAAGAAAGCCCGTATGTCGTCAGAGGTAGCCTGTATGCCATATTCATCCATCAGAAGAACAAAGATCACAAATAAGTCATGTGTGACCGTTGACCATATCAAAATAACATAAGAGGAAAACTGTTTTAAACAGAAAAAAACTTGCCTTGAGACTGATATTTGAGATAAAGGCAGTACACTGGTCATCGTAATATTTGGGTTTTTTAGCAGGGCGACTATGAGTGTCTCCTTTGCTCGAGTTTTCTGCTTTGAGGGAATCGACTTCAACTTTAGCTTTTTCAACTGAATCCGTCGCATCAGATTTTGGCTTCGGGTCAGTGATCTGCAGCTTTTGAGTCATATCTTTGTGGCGTTTTGTCCGAGATTTATCTTCAGTTGCATCAGAATGCAGTTTTCTCTTTTCCCCAGCATTCTTTCTCGAGGTGTTCTCTCTCTGATCAATTGGGGGAGCACTTTTGTTCTCTTGTTGCAATTTGAGTGACTGCAGCTCTGCAAGACGAGGACTCACCTGGTAGTTTTGTTTGCGGTTAGGGGATTTTGAGATGGGAAAGAAACAAAAAATTAAATGACAAAAAAGAAAACTATCAACCTAACAGGGAGTTAAAATGCTAATTGCTACAATGAATTCATGCAAATTTATAATGCTTATTAGAGCTAATGTGGGTACCTTCTGAATGGCAACATCAAAATCTTCCAAAGAACCATACTCTCGTTCAAATTGTAGCCATGAGTGGCAAATATCCTGTATAATTTTGTTTATTTAGAATGGAAACAAATCCAATGATTCGTAGGTACAAAACATGAATGGAGGGAAAAAAATTACAGCCAAAAGTAACACACATTTCTTCTTCTTTTTTTATTGGGTTAACAGTAACACACTTTTCAAGTTGTCAATCTCAAACTTGTTATCTCACAAGTTCTAATTCGCAAAGAGATCTTGCAGAACTGCCAGATCAATCAGCCAATCAGCCGTTGAACTTAGATTATGCTTTCAAGTCAAGAAAAAACTTTTTACCTCAGAAATTCATGACACTGCATTCTATGACAGATACAAGTTTAAACCCCACCATAAAAGCCGAAACAGCCAAAAGTATTGATGAGGTAACAAAATCATTAGTGTTTCTCCATCTAGTCTAGATCATGTGCATGTGCTTGATGAGCAAAGACCAATTTCATAGTTATGATTATTACAATTATTTTGTTTTTGATTAACAGAAGGGATTTATCTTTTCAAGATTACCCTAAATCTCAAATACCGGCAATACATACCAATTTCATAGTTATGATCACAGAGAGCAGAAAATATTCGAACATAAAGTGGTTGCTCAAATTTGTTGATTAGAAGGCAACAGGATGATGAATTACTGCAAAATATTTTACCTCTGAGCCTGTACCAGAGAACCTTTTACTGTAGCATCTCTTATACAGAGATCTAGCTTCATTTATGTGACCGGCTGCAATTTCCATGGCTATATAACCCTCCCATGCTCCTAAAACAGATCCACTTTAACAACAAATAGAAAAAAAGGTCAAGCTTCTGAGAGACAATTTAACAAATTTTCAGCATAACAGGAAGAAAGAGAGCTAACCTCGTTTTAAGGACGTTCTCCCAAACACCACGAGCTGCAACCATGTTTTTACCCAAATTTACCTCCAAGCGGGCCCAGTAACTACTCATTCTCAGAATGTCTGTGATCTCTAGGTGCGGAGACAAATAATCTGATGCACGCTGGTAGAAGAAAAGAGGAGATGGCTTAGAAACTTAAGATGCACTTGTAACCAAGTTCATGAAATCATTCATCATTTGCCATCTAATTCAACAGCCCAAAAAAGTTGCAATTTTTTTGGAACAGCAGCAGCAATCAATAGATCTATTAACCCTACCATGCACTAAATGTGTTCACCATGATCAAAATCATACCACAGATAACACTTTTAGTCCCGGTATATCATTCTTGGAAGCAGATTCACATTACTACAACTAACTACACGGCAGTTTAGAACTAACCACGACAGGAACTGAACCAACTATGCACCACATCTACACTAAGCGTAAAAGGACCAAAACCATTTTGAAACGCATCTAAAGACCAGATTCCGAATTGCATAAAACCTAGCATCAACATCCAACACATTCAAAAGTAACAGATAAGCCAGAATAGGAAGAGGATCAAAACATCCAAACAAATTAGAAAGAAATAGGTTAAAGATAAATAAAACAAACCTGAAATACATCTTTAATCATAGAAAATTCCAATCTCTCCCCCGCTGCAGCAGCAAGAGAAATCTTCCGCCTTAAACCATCAACTCTAGTAAGGAAAATATCAAGGTACTGCCACCAAAGATTTAAAAATCAAAAAATAGAATATCAGTGTTGCTTGCACATAGATGGGTGATCAGAATACATATGGAAACATACGGAAACACAATTGCTGATTGGCAACAGAAGCAAAGTAGTCAAAATACTAACTCGGAAGCAGAATTTGCTACATAGACCAAGCTTATTTAAAAAAGTTACACACCAATTTCCTGTGCTGTGTCTATTTGGGGCACTAGAAGAATTCTTCTTCTTCTTTTTTATTTTATTCTCTTTTGTGCTCTAGAAAAGGCGCACTCAATCTACAATCTTGACAGGTGTTCTTCCAACTCAAATAAGACGGGGAAAAAGTTCTACAAACATCATCAAGTGGACTAGGTTGTTTATCTTTGTTCATCAAGGTAACAGAAACATTCCCCAGACTTTCTTTTCCGGGTATCATGAGTACCAAATTTCATCATTTGCATGTTAAGGAAAACATCATATGTTCACAACTACTGTAGCATATAAAGCTTCTAGATCAGTTTGTACAAATTTATTAGGAATATTACTAACAAAGAAAAGAACCCCGAACTCTTCATCACAAACCAAGAACTCACCTACAAGAACAGAATTTAAAAAGAACTCTAACCTGACAATTTATTTTCAACAAGAACTACGGAAATCATACACATGATCTACTAATAAGCGCTAAAAAGATTATGAGAATGCACAAACTCAAATATAAACTTGGCACAAAAATCGGAAACACGTGATGAAGTGGTTTAGGACAAATCACAAATGAAACCAAATGGAAGTCGGAAAAAAAGCCTTTACCACGTCATAGCTTCCGAAAGTACACTGCAGCGACTTCTCGAAAACCTAAAACAATTAGAAGCTTACATCATCATTGGACCGACTTTAAACTAAATGTAAAACAGGCAGACATCAAAAGCTATTTTAAAAATGTTTCACGGAAGATACAGATAAATAGCAACTATCGGGATCATTTTATTCATGAAAGATAAATATTAGGCACAAATATTTTGTTTCAAGGGAAAGAGACCAAATAATAGATGTAGATTACAATCAGTTGCTACAATGCAGCATAAAGTAGATGGACTAGTCAAATGCAGCTACGGGTGGCATTATGATTAGCTATTGATACTTTTCCTGGCACCATCACTTCTTCCTAATGATTTTTACATTTTAAACAGTGGGCAACCAAATATAAAGGGAAGAGTGAATCAAAATCCTAGCCATATAAAGCAACAAAACAATAGCTGGCAACCTATTGGGAAAACAATTTGTCAGCACCACTAGAAAAACACAAAAGATTAGCATGGCCGGACCTCATCACATTGGGGGAAAAACAAGATCTTACCATTCCAGGCACTTCAATTATGAACAGTCAATTTAATCTAGTTCCATATCTAACACAAACACATTACATGTTTGGAGCTTCCTATTGTTTCCTATACTGACACATACACCAAGTTGAGGACACGGTACATGCAACTTAAACAATAAAGTAAACGGCTGGTCTGACCTTTACATGTATTACACAGGAAATATTAGATGCAGACAACTGCAGACATAGGGATTAAGGAGGCAAGGTCAAAGACTTCACTAAGGTAAAATTCCCTATTACATTTTAGCAGCTGCGACATACCATAGAAATCTCTTCCTCAGAAGCACGAACGCGTTCAAGGTGTCGGAGGTACCAAACCCAAAGTTCACCAACCCAGGGACAATTCCTCGTGGCTCTGGAGTAAACTCCCCTTACGATACTGGAAGTCTGACGTTAAAAGTGATCAGCTATTCTCCAAAAGATTGCAGCAAAAAGACAGAATCAATGATATTAGAGACAAACCTTAATAGTCTTATCCAGGTAGTGAGTGTAATCAAGCCAAAGATCATGATTGATAGGATATTCCGTTATAGCACGCTCAAACAATATTTGAACTCGTGCTGGATCACCTAACGACTGCTCAAACTTCAAATATGTCTGCAATAACAAGAAATTTTATTTGTTATCCCCAATGTTCCAATAGTTGCTCAAACTATTGATAATGTGTTCAATCAAAGCTGCTTTCAATGCATTTAAGTTCAAAACTGACTGGTACCATACAAAAGAGTTTTGCAGAAAAGGTGGAAACTTAAAAGTAGAATAACTGCAGATATTACTCTTGAAAAATGTAACAGATCAAGTTCAATAAGTTCCAATTTACAAAGACCGCAAGGTTGAGTCCCTATGATTAACTAGAAAAGAAAGGTGATGGGCCAAAAAAGACCGTAGGGGTTCAGAAGGAAAAGACTATACGGACTCAGTTTGTTAGATCAGACATTCGACATAATGATATCATGGGGTAAAAGCTTCACTGATGTGGTTTGGTTTGTAAGAAATATCTGAAACCAGTTTTCAACAAAATTCCACACATGCAATAGATGAATACCTATTCCAAATTATTCTCTAGTTCAAAACAGGAAAGTAATTGTATCTATCCAATAGAGACTGATCGGACTATATCAACCCAAGTGGCAACCAACTCAATCTAGCATGCGCGAAACACCATACCATGAAATGTTGAAGTCTTTCCGAGTCATCTTGTCTAGCAATCTTTTCTTCAAAATGAGTACGAGCATTCAGAGCATCCAAAGCTTTCTGATACGCAGCTGCAACTGGAGAAGGAAGTCCATCCAAAGAGTTAGGATCAAGATCAAGGCTAATACCTTGTTCTGCTTCCCAAGTCTTGTATGCGGTAAGAGTTGATTCCAGATTAGCAAGGGGTACAGATAGCTGACGATAAAATAAAGTTCGAATATTCTGGAGTGACTTATCCTTAGACTGCAGCAGAACAATGTATCATCAAGATTAAAAATTGTCAGATTTATCATCAAAATTCAAATGAAGAACTGAGCCAAAATTTTGGGCCCTCCAATTCAACTATATTGACTTCAATCTACTAAAAGGAAAGGACCTGTGAACAAAACAACTTTTACAGCACTAAGGATGTATACCCAACCCAAATAACGAAATTCAGCAGGATGCATACAGTAAACGTCATTCACAAATCAACTGTAAGATTGGCAAAGAAAGTAAAAGGGAACATACTTTAAGGAATTTTGTCAGGGAAATGAATATGTGGGGCTACGAGAATCCAAATCATGCCCACATAAAATGAAGAGTAATAAAATGCTGATGGCCTTCTTAAATTCCATCTCTGTTTTGTGTGTGGCAAAACAAGCAGTACAATTGTCTACAGCTAAAATCAATCTTGAGAAAGACTTCTATCAGTCGAAAAGAACACATCTGTGTCATGGTAACAAGAAGAACATGCTAGAGAAAGCATAACAAACTCAAATAACAGTCAAGCAAGAAAGCTTATATCCAACTATATTGCTTTGGTTATATGCATCACATGTCGGCACTTCCGGTTGTGCTCTACAAAGCATGTTCTCATTGTTCAATCATGTGCTGTCATCTAAGCCCAAAAGAATTTTCCAGACATTAAAGACACTTTAACTAATGATTAAACTCACAACAATTATGAACCTAAATCACCACAATGACAGAAAAAAATCAGCAAATATGAACATAATCTCAGGGGCTACCAGATTTAATGAATTCAAAGTGGCGGGATGGGGGTGGAAGGTGGTGAATGCAACAGCAGAAACATACAAAAGATCACAGAACAATCAACTATGACAACCATATAACACGATAGCACGGCTTCACAAATATATGCAGTAAAGGACATTTGATATGAAGGAAATTATCATGACAATAGTTTTTACATCCAAACAAGTTACAAAAGGAAACAAAAACTCAATGGGGGAGAAAATAGAAACTTTAACCTTTGGATTCAAGCATCTGCTCAAATCATATTATTGCTCTCACTGAGATAGAAAGGTAAGAAAGATGAGGTTACCTCAGTATCAGCCTCTCCCATGGTGGAAAGGTGTGCTTGGGCAAACGACCGATAAGTTTCATATATCTTGCTACCTTCCACGACATGTAGTCCAGCAGCGACTACTGCGCGCTCAAAAACGTTCCTCAACTTTGAGCTACCATCTGCAGAACCTTCACGAACCACGGGATCATGCTTACAAAGAAAATCCAAGTAGTCACACCATAGATCAACAGACTGCACAAAGTGTAGCCAAAGTCAGATGCGCTAATGAGGAAAGTGAGTCACAGAAGATTTTACACACCTCACAAAAAGTCTGAAATTCCACTCAGAATAGGAAAAACTATCATATTTGCCTCAAAACATCCCAAGAAAAAATTAGAAGATAATTGGCATTCTTTCTGACACTTCGAATTTTAGAAATTGGGACCATATCAACCTTTCTAAAGTATTATTAAACAGCCAAATACTAAACACAACACGGAATATCCACAGTTCAACGAATCACCGTCCACTACCCAATGTGCAATTCTGAAGTAAAACACAAGTATGAAAAGAACATTTTCTTCAAATGTGGACAGTATATTTGAAACTCATTAGCAAATTCTAATTACCAAAAGGAAAACAGAAAACTTGATATCTTCCTCAAAACTGTTCCTTCAAGATTTGCAGGAGAACAGCACATCAGACGAGACAAACTTTCAACAGGTTTAAGAGCAGCAATTGCATTTCTATCCACATTTAGTTGTTTCCATCTGTAGAATACCTTGGAGCTATGTAATATTTAATCAAACACACACTCCCCTTGTTTTTTAGATCTAAACATCAGAAAGAAAAATGCTCACAACTTCAAACAGAAATCACTAACCAAATAATCAGACACTCCTCGCTCGTACAGCTTTTCAATTGCTGGAAGAGCTTCAGCTCTGCACAAAGCACAAAAATAAAAATTATTTAGTAGCAGTTTTAAAGGGGAAAAAAAGGAACAAGTAAACAAATGAATAAATAAACAGACACACAAGTTTTGATGTGATCGTAGAAAGTCATAGAAGCCATGAAATTGAACAATTCGTTACCATCTCGAAAAATACAGAATCAATACGCTATTTAATTCTTTATTACTCCGGCGATACCGGTCAGAAATCCATGGGCACCCCAAAAGAACTATCTAGCAAAGACCAGTTCCAGACTTATCAATTATCCCAGGAAAGGGGCCAGTCTCTGGATGTTATACAAATTTCAAAAAAAATACATAATTATTCTCCCCCATTAATACACAAAACCTCCTGGACAAAAGAAACACTAGATGCAATTTTACCAAATCTGATTGGTACCAAGATAAAACCACAAATATGCCCAAAGAATGCTTCGTGTCAAAATCAAGTGGTAATTATTGCCCGCTCATAAGAAAATCATGTGAAAATGAGAATGCATCATCAAAATTCAGGTACAGAACCATGCCGAATTCAAGTAAGTTTAGAAGCGAATAGAAGTAATACCCTGAGCTCATTGCGGTCTCGTCCCTAACCCATTCGCGCCACATGTCAGGAGTCAATGGAAACAAATCACTCATTGTCTCCCTTGCATGTCTCAGCTTCTCTACGTCCCCTTGCTTCCTTAGAGCCCTAATGTACTTTGAAAGATAAATAAAAATTACTCTTGATTTCAAAACTTCACATTAAACCGTAGATAATCAAACTCGAACAAAGGAAAGAGTTTCATATACTAATTACTAATAAATATTATGGGAAAAGCACAGCTACAAAAGCTCAAAAACTGTTAAAAGAGTAAATTAGCAGGAAGAGGGGAATAATACTTGGACATGAGCGTCGTAGTCGGCGGGATTACTGAAGAGCTGAGATTCTAGCGTTTGAACTTGGAGGTTAATTTGAGCTTCGTCGTCGGAATCAGAATCGGAGTCCGAGTCGGAATCCTCCGCAGGTTTTCCAGCACCGGGCATGATGGTGTCCCCGTCGTCGTCCTTTCCGTTGATTACCGCCTCCTCGTCGGAACTTTGCGGTAACGACGAATCCTCGAGTTCAACGTCCGCCATTTTTCCTCGTAAAATCCCTAACTTTTCGCCTCTGATTATTATGTACTACAGCCAATTTCTGCAGAGCCGACTGAAAGTGTAGAGACTAGAGGTTCCTTCTGCTTAATGCTGTGAACAAGACGTAATGTCCACGACGTCGTATGGTACTACATTCGACTATGCGAGTGAGATATTTCCATAGCAATCTGTTTTGTACCGCTTTTCATGGCATATTTCGATTTCTTATAATATAATTAATAATTTTACCGTTCTTTTAGTATATTTTGTCAATGGGTTATTTTCTCTTTTAGTAGTATTTCTTTTTTCATGTTTTACACACATGATATCGAAAATTATTATTTTGGCATTACTTACATAACTTAAAATTATTATTTTGATTAATGAATTCGAACCGTAAATCCAATATCATTGGAAATTATAAATTATAGATTAATTAAAATTCAAGTATCATAAGTCCTTTTTGAAACACAAAACTATCCCCCTCAAAAAAATTGAATTACTATTTGATTTCACCAAAAAAATAAAAAATTACTGTTTGATTAACTTTGATCGACCAGGAAAGGTCCCTTGGTTTGAATTCTAGTTGCAAAAGATTAGGATGAATCAACATTGAGTAATTAATTTTTTTTTTTAATCAAAATTGAGTGTAACTGTATTCCTCCTGATAACTTTGAGGGATCATAAAAGACCTACTTTAATTCTTCCTCTTATTCTTCTTCTCCTCCTCCTCCTCCTTCGCCCCCTGTGCACGACGTGAAAGACATTAATAGATCCCTAATCGCCAATCCCAATTTTGAGAGATACACAGGTATATGTACTCCTATTACTAATTAATCTTTACAAATTGACGAGTCCAGATCCTTCACCATCACTGGGCCGGCCCACTACTTGGCCTTAGGGTCAAGACCGTCCCGATGTGGCGGTCTATTGTTAACCTTAGTAGGAATCGGATTTCTCCCAAATCTATAAATAGGGACCTTTGTTCCACACTAAAGATACGCAATCTTAAATTATCATATCAACACATACACAACCCTATTTTCTAACTTAATCTTCGGAGTGTTTACCCCTCGGGAGATGCCCGAAGCTCTGTTTTGCAGGAAACCCTAGTCGGAGTTCCGAATTACACCGGCGGTACAATTCCGGGTATCGCCACAAATTTAATCATTCTCCCTAGTGTTCCTCTATTATAATGTGCAAATATATTGCTTAAATTTTGCATGCATGTTTTTGGCGTTTTATATACAACTGATTATTCATCACACTTCACGTTTGTAATGTCGACTGTTTGTATATTTTATCTGTTTCAAACTGTATTGTTTAATTTGAATTTTTTTTTACTTTAGTATCATTTGAACTAAAGAAAAAACTTTGAAATTTGGGTTGAAGAGAATATTCATTGGATTCCCAGAAATTGGTGATCAGAATGTCGAGACCCGAATTCCTTCCAACAGATGAGAAATTGGTGAGCTATTTCCTGAGGAGCAAGATTCTGGGACTGCCCTTACCCGACTCAGAATCCAAATTCTTGATTGAATTAGACATGTATGGCACTAGTGGCGGCACGTCCAGCAGTACTACTACTCTGGCCGCCGGCGTCCACGACTTATTCGGTTCCGACGATTCCGACCACCTTCCCTGGCAACCTTTTGCAGTGGACTTCCCGAGCGGCCGCAAGTTACCGGGTCGAATTCTTTACGTCTTCACCCGATTAAATTCTAATAATGCCGCCGAAAATAGTAGTTGTGGTGGTGGAGTAGCACCATCTATAAAGAGGGAGGTACCTGGATTTGGAACTTGGGTTGAAACGAACAAAACTTCCGGCATCTCCATGCGTGACAGGACAACGACAACCAGAGGAGTAGTGGTAGGTTACAGTAGATTTTTCCACTTCAAATCATCATCAACAGCCAGCACTAATGGCCACCAATTAGTAGTTCCGGGGTTATGGTTTATGATTGAAATCCACATCTATCCCGCGGCTCTTGGAATTAGCACTACTAGTCGTGATGGATTGATGGATTGGGTGGTGTGTAAGATAATCAAGTGTGATGAGATTGATGACAAAAATGTTAGAGCTACGACTGATGTGGGAAAGTATTGTGGGGATCAACGCGACAATATTTTCTACACCAATTGTGTGGTACAACAGGAGGTTGCCTTGATGGTGATTGATAGTGGGAGTAGCAGCAATTTGATCAGTGCTCATTTGGTAGCTAAATTGGGATTGCCGACCACTCCGCTTCCGGTACCGCGTGAAGCCCGATGGATTCATAATGATCAGCGGGTAACCGTGGATAGGCAAGCTACGGTTCACTTCGTCATAGGTGATTATTTCGATCAAGTGACCTGTAATGTTGTACCCATGAACGCGGCCGATATTCTACTTGGTCGACCTTGGCAGTATGATCGCCGTGTCAATCATGATGGTTTTACCAATACTTACCGCTTCTTCTTCCGTGGAGTTCATTTTACTCTAGTACCCAAGTCTCGTCAACAAGCCCTTCTCATATCAAAAGATCGCTTGCACCCACCTCTTCTAATCAATCAAGACTAAAGAGCGCTAGCTCTTCTTTTTTTTTTGGGGGTTTAATTTAATGCTTGCTGCTGTACTCATATTCTTTTAGCCTTCGAGCTTCCATTAACTAAGCTTGAATAAACAAGGGTGAGGTTATTCATACATGAGAGCTACTTTATTGATTTTGCTTCTCCATTTGGGGTTGGTGTTACTGTTAATTATTGCCCTTTCGGGTGATGCGCCAATTAGATTGTGCATACGTAGTCATTGACGTTGTATGCAAGTGCAATTACTTTTCTTGTTTTGCAGTTTTAATTGATGTTGGCATTTGGAAGACTTGGAACAAAAAACAGAGTGGTAAAAACAGAGGATGTCAACATATATATTACTGTGCTATAATCTATACTATAAACGAGTCCACCCACCAGGAACAATGCTTGTAGTATAAGCCAACAGATGATTACTACAAATCAAAATTGGTTCATTTAGATTACGGGATGGGTTTGGAACTATATAATAACATACCATTCAAGTGAAACGTAACCATCATAAGAAGACAAGTATCTGACCATATCACATTTGTATGCAAATTGCAAATGCAAAGACTGAAGCTTTTTTAATTGAAAATTGGGTCTGCCAATTGATGATCATTTTTACATTCCTTTCTCATCATGAATTAAATCTATGTCGACCAAAAGGATGGATAAGTGCAGTAAATCTGCCACCTTCTTCAGCTCGAACAAAAAATGAAAAAAAAGAAAAAAACGAAAAGCTTCAGCCTACCTGAGCATGTCTACTCTGAGTCTCTGAAACATCTACTACTATTGTAATTTTGTTGACATTATATTTTCCCCCAGAAGAAATGATATCTATCCTTAAGCAGCTCATCAATCTCAGATTGGTAATTGGTTCCCCATATTGTAAAAAAGAAAGAAAAACAAAATCCCTTTTCCACCTGTACAGTATTGGAATTCCCCTGAGTCCCAGTCATCTTCCACAGTTTACGCCTCCGGCGGCAGCAGATCTTGAATGAAGTTCTGAACATAAGTCTCGACGTCAGTCCCAACGTTGGCGGCAGCTTGAGCGGCAACGGCAGTCAAGGCTTCATCACCACCTTCTTCTTCATTCATCAGCAGCGCGACTACCCCGCCGGCGCCGGGAGCAGCACCACCACCACCAGCTCCCTGTTCATCTGCCGGCACCGTGGCTTCTACTACTGGCAAGGGGGCCGCATGGGCTGCCGGCTGCTGTTCCGCATTGTACTCGTGAATCCATGACTGGATTACTTCTGGGTCAAGGAAATTGTAACCGCCAGGGACATTCATTCCGGCTCCTTGCCCAACCATGGCGGCAAGTTCCGGGTGATCACTATTGATCCACTCCAAGAATTCGACTGGATCCACCACCGGCAAGGGGGGACCTTGGTCACCCTGATTTGCAGCAGCACCCAGATGGTGTAGGACGTCGGTAATCCAAGGTATGAAAATAAGCGGGTCAAGTGGAATGAGGCCGCCGGCGGGGGCGACTCCCTGAACTCCAATATTTGGGGACGGAAACTCATTCCCGGCAAACAACTCTCCCAAGTTCCACTCTTCATCCGCAGGCATTTCATTACCGGCGGCCCCGGGCTGACCCTGAATATCAAGATTTGGAAGTGCAGGGTGTGGGTGGCCAAACAAAATATCAAGGTTCCAATCTTCCTCCGCCGCCGGAACTTCAAGAATCTCATTTTGCGGCGGAACTGCAAGAATTTGGCCTGAAAAGTTAGCTGGGTCCACGTCAATGCCCGGCTGGGGGAGTTCAACTCCGGGACCGGGGGGAATATGAAGATGATTTGGAGCAGCAGGATGTTCGTGGTCAAAGAAAATATCAAGATTCCATGCATCGTTCCCCGCCGGAACTTCAAGAACCTCATTGTGCGGCGGAACTGCTAGATTTTGACCAGCAAAGTCAGCTGGGTCAACTTCCATGTCAGCTTGGAAGAAATTGTGCAGACCCCAGTCTTCTTCCTGGATAGGAACTTCATTCTGTGGACCTACTCCGCCTACATCAGCATTACCGTCGTCGTTAAAGATTTCTCCTAATGCCCAATCCACATCAAAGGTTAGGTCCACGCCCAGTTCGTCCATGTTTTTCACTCAGAATTTTGCAAATTCCTAAGGCTCAAGTGACCCGAAGACGAAGAGGGAAACAGAGAAACGGTTTGCAGAATTAACCCCAAGCGAAAAAAGGTAAGTATGAGCAAAATTGTAAGGCCAAAAGCGCTGGTTATTCTGAATACAGAAACTGAGAATCGATAGCAAACTATTATAGGTATTTATAGACGGTTCAAAACACTCGGTGACTCGTGAGTGACTTGCAGTTACTTTTTAAGCACATCCACTCTTGAGTCTTGACACCATACAATACCACACAATAAAATACGCATCCAAAGGAAAAATAAGCTGATATCACAAAGATAATAATTAGTACTGATACAATCTACACTCTCCGCAAGGAGGTTTGAATCTACAAAATGGCAAAACTCGAGTCTGTCTCGGATCCGTAGATGCAGAATCTAACAACTGTTATCCGACTTTGGCACGCCATCAACTAAATCATTCCACAGATACCCAGGGATTGAACTCTGTTGCTAGGGATCCCCGCCATCCACAATGCTGTTCGAGGTATCAATAGCAGCCCGATGCTTGGTGTACTTTCCATTGTACTTGTACACTTCCAGGTCTCCCCACGGCGTTGGGGTAACTTCATCAGTCAAATCAAACCATCTAGGAGTGAATTTATGGCCATTTGTCTCTCGATTTCTCTTTTCCGCTCTTTGCCTTACCTCCAAACTGAACCAACAAACAAACAAAAACAATAGCATATTTTAGCATAATGTTTTAGCAAGCTTGCCTATTTATTGATAAAATGTATTTGATCCATATACTGCATCCCAAATAAAACATAACTGCTAATAGAGCATAAATCGAAACGGTAAACCTACAAAACGATGGCTCTACAACAACCAAAAATTGATACTGCCCAAACAAGTGTTGCTAACAGTTACGAAGTTCATGAAGCTAAACAGACCATCATGAAGTTTGAACCAGAGTAGCAAAAGGAAAGAGCCAAAACTTATAATCAAAGCCTACGAGAATTCTCGTGAAAGGCCTGTTTAGACACCGGTGCTACAGATTAATAACAAAACAGGAATTTTTCACAAAAGCAATCATTGTATTCAAATGCATGTATATGGAGAGAGAGAGAGAGAGAGAGAAGGTATACTGTTTACATTGTGTCTAGTTAGGTGTTTTTTCTTGCAATGGAACAAAATGACTTTGAATTGGTCTACTCAGTATAGAAGTATTCTAGAGGAAAAAGAATTGTCTTCGCCTCTATCCTTTATCCCTTCTATTCTTACTGCCAACATGAACTGCCTCTATGCTTCGTAGTACTGCTGCTTTTTTTTCCCCCTTCTTTTTTTTCCTTTTACCCCATCAGAATGCTGCCATTACAAGAATATAAAGTAACTGCAACAGTATTTGGACGAAGCCGAATAATTATTGCTTCCGTCCACTCACTTTTAAAGGAATAGGACAAAAATAAGTGGTTTCCATCAGCATATCACATACAGTAAGAATATCCTAATTGATACAAGTAGAATCACTTACTAGTGAGCATAAGCACATCACTGGTAACAGGACCATATTTAAGCTGAATATGAGTTGCTGATGAAAATCTTGAGCCCCTCGATTTCTTGTTCCTCAATTTTTCTGACAGACTCTTCAACTAAATTTCCACACTGTTGGACTTCAATTTTCTCCAATGTTGAGATATACATGAAGTCAGAAGGAATCTCCTCAAGATGCTTGCAATTTCGCATGATAAGCTGCTTAAGCTCAGGCAAATGATCACTGGATGCATCCCAATGGACAATGTCTAGTGTGTCTAACTTCAAGTACTCAAGCTTTTGAAATTCTCCCTCTGTCATCTCCCAACTTGATCCCTCAAAGTCACAAGAAATCACTTTGAGGACCTGCAGTTCTGGTAGTCTCCCTGTTGCTGAGATTTGGTCTGGGGACAGGCCGAAGTTTGATAGAGTCAACCTCTTTAAACTTAAAGGCAATTTCAACTCACCAATTTCCGAAACCCTGCCAAAGTGTGATATCTTGAGTGACTCCAAGAAGCATAGTGATTCCAGTGAAGGAATGCGACTAGAATTCATGGAAAACTCTGTTGGTCCAGAAATCGTGCACTTCAGTTTTCGAAGATTAGGCAACCTCACTATAATCTCATTTGTTTCCTCCTCCAATGGAAAGTAAGGCAAGGAAAGTGTCACCAAGCTATCCAACTGAAAGGACCTTCCGATGTCATCTTTAGGCAAAGCGAAGACAGCATGATTACTTACATGAATATGCCTCAACTTCTTCATTTTCCAAATGGTATCCGGTAGCAAGACCATCCTCTTGAAACCCTTCACAATCAAAGTTTCCAGATTACGCAGTTTGGACAAAGATGGTGGAATCGACTCCATATCACCACAAACTGCCAAGTAAGTCAAACAAAGAAGCAATTCTATTCCAATTCCGAAGGAGCCACCCATGTTAATGGATTCCAAATCCAACACCTTTAGAAGTTTGAAGTTGTTAGGAATGAAGGAGACATCATAGGAGCATCTTGAAGTTTTATCAGTGGCAGCAGAGAATATTAGAGATCGGACACGTCGACCAGAAGGCCTTGATACAGCAAACTGTTCTTGGTCCACACGAAATTGCAACCGATACTGCTCGTACGACCTGGAACTTGAACTCTTGAAATGCTCATACATAGCACCAAATTTTAAAGCATTGAAAGAATGATAGGGTTCATCATTATCAGATATCAGCTGCAAGAATCTGTCATCTTTAGCTTTCAACAAGCACAAATCGCGTACCAGATCATGAACTCGGCAAGCTTTTAGGCTTCGGCCATCTGATCTTCTTTTGGCCACTATTATTAGGCTTCGGCCAACAAGATCCATCAAGTAATCCTTAGCACGGTCCTCCAAACTTTTAGACTCCAATTTGTATATGAAGCCTTCAGCAATCCATAGGCATTGTAATCTCCAAACTGGGATGTCCTTGCCCTTTGGAAGTGCACCAAAGTAAAGCAAGCAAGCTTTCAGATGATCTGGTAAATGATGAAAGCTCAAATTAAGTATTCTCTTGCACTGAGTTTCTGGATCATTTATTATATGCGAGCTTACGCTTTCAGCAATTCGCTTACACAAGCTTTGGCTCTTTCCACACTTCCTATCAAGAATACCAGCTATTGCACCAATGGCCAGAGGCAGTCCTCCACAACTTTCGGCAATTTCTTGTCCAACTTCCAAGAGGTCCTCAGGACATTCTTCTGTCTGAAATATCTTTAACTTTAGTAGCTTCCAGCTTTCCTCCTTTGAGAGTTGAGGAAGATGATAAGGAACCTTGATATCTGATACCACATCCCCGAGACGACTTGTCAACAAAATTCTGCTTCCATTTAAGTCGTTGGGAAATGATAGTTTCAAATCATCCAATGCCCCGCTACTCCACATGTCGTCCATGACAATGAGGTAACGTTTCTTCAACTTCCGATACAACATCACCGCTAAATCTTCTTTACTCTTTTCACGAGTACTATCAGTGATGGGGCTTATCTGGCTTAGTATATCCAGCAACAGATCTCTCTTGTTATATGTTAGTGAAATGCTACACCAAGCACGAATAACGAAGTGATGCACAACATTTTGATCACGAAACACATTACCAGCTAAAGTAGTCTTGCCGATTCCTGGCATTCCAGAAATTAAGACAACATCTCGCTCCTTTGTTCCCCTTGTAAGCCGAGCGATTATCTGTTTTCTCTGGTCATTGTGGCCAATCATTACTTCCTCAATTTTTGATTCAGTAAATTTTGACACAACAGGCATCAGCCTCTGGGGATAACTATGGATCTCATCATTGCAATTGTTGCTCTCATCAAAATCTGTGAGCTGTTTTCTGATATGTCTAATCTCGTCCGACCAACAATAAAGCCAGAAAGAATGTTGCCACGTGGACTTGTTTTCGCTAAACATTAAGGCGATAACATGTTCTACCTGATATGCAATGTGAACAAGCTTTGTAACAACATCTCCGCATTTCTGCTTCTCAGCATCCTCATCAAAAACATCCTGGAACTCAGATACTATGAACTCCATATCCTCACATATTGCTTCGATGTGATGAGATGCGTGTGCTACTGATTCATGCTTACACTTAATCAGATCTCTTAAGTTCTCTAAGAGATGTTGAATGAAGCACATACCAGGAGTCTTGGGGAAATCAAAGCCTGAAAATTGAGAAAAATGCCCTTTCAACATTGGCATCAAGAGCTGAACTTTTTCAGATATATCAATAGGCCATACATCCAGATTCTTGGCTCCTTCTTCAGTGAGGTTTTCAGGTAGAGATGTGTTACAGAAAGATATGACTTCCTGAGCCACTAAATGGACATCAGTCAGGAACACCCTTTCTTCCTCGGCACTGTACTTCTCCGTCGCATTAACCACAAACTCTAACAGGAAAACCAGTTCGTCGTAAAGAGTTTTGACTTTATGCTGCAGAGGGAGCATCAGTCTCGCATCCTTTTCCTGTAACTTCACCAGAAGAGCCTTTGACTTTAATAGCACGATGTGCACAAGGAAGTTGAGGAGCAAGTTGCTGACCTTGAAATGCACCAAATAGTCCTCTGTTCCAGGAGAGCGTTGATAGAGAGATCGAACTTGCTTGGAGACTCCTTCAATTAGCTCCAAGATCTGATGATATTCTGCAGGCTTTTCATTTTCTTGAATACTTTTCTCCAGATATCTACACCCGTCCCGAAGGGCTTCAACAAGGTCGTTCCAAGTAAGCAAGGGCAGGATGCCGGGGCATTTGACCATAATCTCAGCCTTAAGAGACCACATTCTTGCAAACAGGACAAAATAAGCATATTTGTCTCCATCCTTGGAATTCTGCCCTGTGTACCTGGCCTGAATGAGTACATCTTTAATATCTGAAGTTAGATTCAGCAAATCTGAGCTTTTCAACCTCGAAATTTTGGGGAGACATGTAAGTAGGGAAAATAACTCCTTTTCAGGAGCTTCACTTCTGTATTGAAAATGAAGTATATGACAGATGAAAGAGTATATTGATCGTCCCAAATCTTGCCCAGCATAGCCTTCCAGGAACCCAATACCGATGTCCATAAACTCTGGACCATCGGGATCCATCATTTTGCAGCGAAGATCTGAAATCAGAATAGCCAAATCTTGCACCATGGTTGGATCAATCGGGGGATTATACCAGCACAAGCAACAGAAGTGAGCAGCTTGGACAACCATAGGCCCAAAAAGCGCCATCATATTGTTTTCCCAAGGTGATGGCCACTGACGTGTGATGAAAATCCAGCTAAGGGAATCCAAGGTCAGTTTCAAGGATTTCATTTGCTCTCTCAGAGCATCACCCAAGACTGGTTTCTGCTCACAGGACAAATATCCCAGATTCCATCGTACAATATCACAAAACCTTTCCCAGCACCGCAACGCCCCGACTCGTGCTTCCGGGGATGGTGACTGAGGATGGAAGAATGATTGTGGAGACAAAGAGCCGTCTTGGTAAGCTGCAGTGATCTTTGGCTTCAAAAGTTCAATCTTTTGCTCCAGCGATGTTAACACTTGGCCTAACTTGGAACGCCTGTATTCATATAAATCCCCAACCCTTCTCCCCAAGGCTCTTCTCCCCAAGTTCAACAGTTCTGTAGCCAATGTTGCATCTGGGTCTTCATCTACAATTCTGAAAGCATCTCGAACATCTCTTTCTAATCCTTCAGTTGCAGCAACAACTTCGATTATTAAGCTTTTGTTGGGTGGAGATGATGAAGATAAATCACTCCAAATGTGAGTGTAACCCAGAAAGCTATGCAAAAATGTCAGCTCCGCCGCAAGGGAATCCGTGCTTTCCAATCTCTCCACATACGGTAGCATTGGGAGTTTTTCTCTGGCACTATGAACAGTGTCAGTGAAACCTGCCAACACTTCAGACATCGGCCGCAATAAGGTTCAGGAACCTGGGTGGAGGCCTAGAGCGCTTATCACAAATTTAAGAAAATGCTAGTATACACAGAAAAATGAAGACAATCACGAAAGGCAGCTACCATTAGCTAAATGAAGCTTCTTGATTGATGGTTGCGGCATCGAAAAATGAAAAAGAAAAAAGGGGAACAGAAAGAAAGAAAAACAGAAAGGAATTAATATGATAAACCAAGAAGGCAGAGAATAGAAGATTCCTTAGCAAGCAGATTGGTCCAAAAAATTTTATAATACACACAGACTACAGAGGGATCGTTGACATAAGAAAAACAGTCAATTTTTAATGGTTTGTTGTTCCCATCTCGAGTACTTAAAACAACAATGTTGTACCCTTAAGCAACAATAGGTTCAATCTCGCCGAGCATGGCACTAGTGTGATTAAAATAAACATACTTGACTCCAATTCAGATCAGTTAGGATAGTGTTGTAATATACCAAAACACAATGGTACCTTAAACAAATACTATTTTCTTTCTTCCTTCAGTTGGTTGTTCTCTCATTGTAAAAGGAGACAGAGAATCATTTCAGAGATGCGGAAGAGTAGCCTTCTCGGTTTGTCTTATCTGCTTCAACTTCATCAATCATTCCACTGGTCTGTAACAAATTTAGTATATAATTCATATCTTTAATCCTTGAATGGCAGATATCAGAGCGTTAAATTTCTGTTTTCACTTTGCAAGGCATAGCAAAGAGTACCAATTGCACAAACGGCCAACGTTCAAGTATCTGTAGGTGCTGGAATATGGAGAGCTTGAGGGATTTTGCAGCAACATAGCAAAGGAACCCGTTCATTTATTTTCTTCGAATTCAAACTCTACTAATTTTCAAATGGAACTTTACTTTTCATTTTGATTTTGTTCATGGTATCAGAGGCGGCATTCAGAGCTCGAGTGAATCAATACACTGAACTTGTTCTACAAAACCATCAGAGGATTTTGAGCTGACAAAAAAGCTACTATAGAGGAACTTGCACATTGATAGGAGACCCATGGTTCTACATATATGCAATGATTATGAGAAAACTAAAGATGATTAGTAGCCCAACTCTCAGGTTGAGATGGATGATTAATGTACTTTATTTCATCGTCATAAACAGAGTAACACCATTAGCCAGAAACAAAAGGAAACTTGTAGTGACATCAGGGACAGGTTATTATTGTTCACACTGAATTACAGCTTACATTTCATCTTTCTGACTCTTAGCCTTGACATTTACATTAGTACTTCCTCCAGCATTCTCATTGCTTCTAGTTGCCTCAGCAATGCTAACCACCCGAGGTTCCCTCTTCTTCTCCTCAGCCAATTTAGGCACCACAATCTTCAACACCCCATCGTGAAGATAGGCCTGAATCCTATCCCAATCGGAATTCGCCGGCATCCTAAACTGCCTCCAGAATTTACCCACCGTCCTCTCTGCCCTGTGCCAAGTATCGCCTTCTACTTCCTCTTCGCTCTTCCTCTCCCCACTGATCGTCAACACCCTGTTTTCCTGATCGACCTCGATCTTGATCTCGTCTTTCTTCATCCCTGGAATGTCCAAAGATATCACGTGCTGGGCCTTGGTTTCTTTCCAATCAGCACGAGCCAGGGCCAGGGATTCGACTTCTGGTTTGGGTATGGTTAAAGGTTTCTGCTCCAAGATTTTAAAAGGGTCTTCAGGAGGGAGAATCATGTCCCAGATGGAACGTGGATTGTAGGGCATCAGGGATTCAGTTGGCAGAGCAGCTAACACTGCTAAAACCAGAAAACTCATCAAAACTGCAACTTTAGCCATCGATGGGGAAACTGGGGATTATTGTAAAGAGTTTAGAAGATTTGGAATTGCAGTAACTAGTAGGCTGGAAATAGCAGAATGCTGTGTGTGAGACTGAAAGAAATCGATTTAGTCACTCTTGACTTGTGAGTTAGGAGTAATTTAGAATTTATATAGCCGGGAAGGAAATTTCTAAGGAATATCTGGAGGATTCCAAGGATTTCATGCAGGTTGGTGCTTGATTTTGAAGTAAGCAAAGACAAGGTGAAGGCCCACTTACAGATGAGCTCTGGAACATCTACAACACTCTGGAGAGGTAAAGAAGAACAGGTAAAAATGTAACAGGTGTAACTTTGCTACTTTTGGAATTTGGTTTGTTAGTACAACAGTTGCCTAACATGCTTGTTTGGACATCAACTTATATTTTATTTTGCCATTTAAAAATAGAAAGTGTTTTAAATTAAAAACTAAATGGAAAATAAAAATATTGTTTAGATGTTGGTTTTGAAAAAAAGATTTTGAATTACATTTTGAAATATCAAGTACAAGTTATCACTAAACAATTAAATACCGTCAATTATAGTAACTGTAAAAAAGAATTTTTCCAAAAATAATCACTCAACAACAGAATTCTACCAAATTCATCACTGAACTATTTGTAGTTCTAAAACGGTCATCACACTAATAAAAAGTGTTTCAAGTTGGAACGTAAAATGTAAATTAGAAAGTCATTTGGATGATTTTCTTTTTCATTGAGTTTTGTGTTTAAGAAGTAAAATGAGTGAAAATGTAAAATGAACTATTGTCCAAACCATGCATCATTTTGAGGGAGACAAATTCATTTGTTTGTTCTTTAAAGGTCGTATCAATGTGATCCTTAGACGAGCCAGTGCTATTATGATTTTTCTGATTGGATGGCAAAAACATGGTTGCCAGTTAAATATGATCCTCCATCGAAAGTCAATTCAGTAATTCCCACACCGCAAATGTATTAATTCAACTATATAGGATTTTGTCTCCTCTGTTTCCTAATGAAAGAATTGTCATTAATGTAGTCATGTGAGTTAAAAGTTAAAACAATTCCCCAAAACTAAGGATATCGGCGAACGATGTAATCTTACAATGCTGAAACCAATGACGAATAAGAACGATCAATCGGCTCTACTACTTATTCGTAGAACTAATGAGGTCTGAGAACAAAGAAAAAAGAAGACATGAAAAACCTTGATGCTACAAACTTATTTCTGATGATGATAAGGAAAAGTGGAACTATCAATCAGAAAATGAATCTAAACAATTCCAGAAGTTTATGAAGGTGGTGGTGGTGGTGAAACTGATCTATTTTCCAACAAGCTGGTGAAATTTGGAAATGCAACTCAAAGCGTTCTCGAATTCAGATTCTTCCAAAGCTATTGTGAAGCGACAGTACCCCGGAATTCCTGTCCAAGCGGCACTGTTGATACACAAACCTGTGCTCCTGAGCATTGCTTCTCTGATATTCGAGTCATTGAGTTTTCCTTCCCATGCACTTTCACTTAATTTAATACTCTTGCCAAGGTAAGCAGATGGCTTTGCGACTACCGAAACACCTGCTTGAGCTTCGAGTACTTGCCAACCACAATGTTCAAGCGTCTGCAACATGACGATCAAGAATAAAGTTTAGGTTCAGTTAAACCATAGTACTTGAATGAAGTAAGGGGAAAGTGATAAGATCAATATTTACCTCTTTCAAGCGCTTATATCTTGTTGCCAAAGTCTTTTCCTGCTCTCGAACCGAGTTCAGTAGGGAACCTCCCTCTTGCTCTACCAACTTCTTTACTGCATATCTAATAGTACTATGGGGTTTGGTCAATCCAGCAAAGTTATGAAAAGCATCAACCAAGGAAGTTTGATTTAATAGCAGAAAGCCAAATGTAAGTCCACCAGTAAGCATCTTCAGAAACAAGCCTCCCAACAAAGAAATTGAAAATGATGGTTTAGCAGAAGTTAGTCCTGCTAAGATGGCCTTCAAATCCCATCTACCGCAGTCAGTGCTATGGACTACACCTGAGAAGGAAGTATCAAGAATAACCCTAGCTCCGTACTTCGCACAGGTAGTCAGTATGCCTTTCAGCTCTTCATTAGTATAAAGTAATCCAGTTGGATTGACCGTTGGTCCAGAAATATAAATCCAAGGTTTATTCACACTTTCTAATTCCTTATCAAGTAGTTTTCCTGTCAACTTAAATCCAGAATCAGAACTGGTGGGAATGGTCTTAATATCTGCTTTCAAAAACTTTGCAGCAGACACATAATTCCCATTTGAGCCAGATGGGAAGCACAGGGTTCCACCTTCTTGCAGGCAACAAAGAACCAGCTTACTGAAAAGAGCAAGAGGACGGTCAGCACATAACACTTCGGTCTTGCTGTCTGTTGCAAAACCGTAGTTTCCGCTAACAAATTGACTTATTCCATTTGTTATGTCAATCTCTGCCTCCACAATGTTCTGTCTTGAGAAACTCTCAAAAATAGCAGCCTTGATTTCTTTAGGCATTGGCAAAAAGCTTTCATCAACATCCATGTGAATAAGAGAAGTGTTCTCTGCTTCACTAACAGAATATTCGGCCTGATCCAGAACTGAACTAGCTGAACTCGAAAAGCCAATCATCTCACTTGCTTTTGCCTTTTGAGCTCCTCTCTAAGTTCAAGGGGGAAAAGTCAATTAAAGAAGATATCAGTAAACCTACAGATCAATATTGGACAACAGTCCAACATAATCTACCCGGTATAGGCAAGGCATCTACAGTACCAAGAAGTTCATAGGGGTCCACGCAATATGTATATAATGGGATTAATGATAGCAACCATGGAATTGGGCACCCAATCCACAGTTATATCTAATTATTTGAACTTTGATACATTCAGTGTATAAAGCCAAAGTCTTCTTGCAAATGTGTCACAAAAGAGGGCACAGAGATGGACAATTAGAGATAACTACAATGGAATAACCATTAGCGAGTATGTATCCATGAGAACAGAAAAAGAATCAAAACAAGTATAGATGCTGTGAAACAAGTATACACATTCAGAATAATTAATAAAGCCTTAAACAGATTCAAGCCAAAAAAATCTTTGCAAATTACCAACATAGAATATAGGAAGCATATACTAACCTCTATGGCTGGATGCCTATCGGCAAGTTGAAATGCTAGAAGCTCATGAAATAAGCAGCCATAATAGTATTGGCTAATAAGTGGAGTGTTTCCCTGTAAGAGTTCCACAGTCTTGTACAACGCTTTAAAAACTGATTCTTCTTCTGATATTACGAAAGCAACTTCAAGATCAGAGTAAACCTGGGACGAAAATCGCCAGGATGTTAGTTAACGATGATACTGTCAAATTGTTCAGAAAGTAACTAGCCAATCACCTGGATGGTGATAAAATTAAGAAAAGAACAATGGTTCATACCCGATTTTTCACTAAGCCGCAAACTATTGCTGCATGTGAGGGAAGAGGATTTCCAGCTAGATATTTTAAAAGCCCATTTGAACTAGGGAGACTAGATAGCTCAAAGTGGTCCGATATATCTAAAAATAGACGAGATCCGATTTCTCTAGTAGTATCCAGAAGGTGCTCAAACGCTGCACTAGTTACAAATTCAAAATCTGCAATCCCAGTGACTACAACCTGGGGCTTCAATTTCTTTATCAGCTCTACCATCAAATCGGATTGCCTAGGAGCTTCCAATACAGTGATCGCATCCTCTGAATTCTTATCACTTTCGGCATTCTACAAAATACAAAATCCACACATTTTATTCAGAACGAAAAAGGTACTTATAAATGCAAGTGAAACTAAGGTGCTTCAGTACCAACAGAAGCCAACAGATCCCAAATTTTCAAGTTTTCAAAATATCAAAAAGTAACAAGATGAGAAATATAGATTGCCCAATTGGGGAGTATTGATCAAGTGTTGATGAACGCTTGCATATATACCCTTCTATCAGATTCAAGCAGCAACAATCCATTACATTATGATAATTATTGAGAGAAAGAGAGGAAGAGAATCTGATGTTTTTATTCCCGTCACTAAGCCCATCTTTACTTTATTTAGGATTTCTCCTAATATTGGCACCAGGGGAAAGCATAGGTTTTCTCATAATTCGTCAACGAGAATTTTTGAAAACTTTATAGTAGTTCAATAATCTGGCCATATTTTTCTAATGAGTTTGATGCTATCCGTAACGCAATCAGTACTCTCAACTTGATAAAAGTTATCTGAATCCAGTAGAAACTATAATTTGAAAATTTAAAAAGGTAAAATAAACTAAATAATATAAGCAACAGCTAGGTAAGGAACAGCACCTCAATTTTCAATGATGTTAACCATTGCCTAGGCAGGTATCGCGACAGATGTTCATCCACTATGGCAAGTCGAGGTGAAAACAATCTAAGAGCATTCTCAATTGCGACAGTCCTTGAAGGAAATACGACGACATTCTATCCAAAAGAAAAAAGGGATTAAAATCATCATGTTAAACAGTAAGTGGAAAACAGAACATTATTCTAGTATAACTTTTTTTGAATTAATATGCACAGTAAAAAGCCAGAAGGTTACAACAGAGAAATAGAAGTAGCCCAATCTTATCAAGATTATGCAAAGGAAAACACAGAGCTTCATGGAACGATACACTTTCTGAAGGTAAAAACAAATCCAAAAAGAACAACCAACTTTAAAGGGAAAAATCAAAGCAACTGGTGACAGCTATTCAGATAACTATGTAAAGATATGGGTAATATGTGACATATGTTGATACAGAAATTGTAATCATGTTGACCATGAGAGTATTGCATGGAGACAAGACAGAAATGAAAACAGCTTCCTCATAATTTCAAGGTTAATCTCTAATTCCAAAGACGAGTAGTTTTGGGGGCCTCGAGACATAAATGATTTCGAGTAGAAGCCCTTCATCAAAACATAACTTATCAAGAGGTTTAGAATAATTGTAACAAATAAATAGAAAACTAACAGGATTGCAGATAAATCATGATCTTCCCAAGGAAATAAAAATCTGGGTTAAGGCAACACAATTTCTCATGACAACAAAATAGTTTAGTAAACTGTTTACTTACATCAGCAGTAAGTGGAATGTGATGGTAGGTTTTCATAAACCTAGCAATGAGATTACGGAACCTTTTGCTTCCTGCAGGAGGTTCATATGCAAAAAAGGAGTTCTCTTTCAGAACACTTGCTAGATACGCAAGAAATGGTATTTTCTCATCAGCGACAGCATCGTCTTCAAAGGACAAATCTAACGAACTGCTGATGCTGTGGAACCCATTCTTGAGGAACTCAAAGATCTTTTTAACCTGTCAAATCACCTCCGTCAGTAGTGTCCTTCCATTATTTACGAGACATAGTTAGTTAGGTTCCTTTTGGCTAATAGTATTCTCTAGTACTTGTGATACCTGATTTGGTTGGCGGAGTTGGCAACTAAAAACTGACAAAGCATGTGAGATTCTACCGCCAGACTTTCCATAGGCCCATGCAGTTCGAGCACATATTGGCTTATCACCCACAAGTCCCATGAAAAACTCAAACCGGTGGCGACTGTTCTTTTCAATTTCAACTAAAGCTGAGATATCTGTGTCAGCAGCCTGCAACAAAGACCTCCAAAAGGTGTGGGTATTGCCTTAAAAATCACGTTTATAAAGTTAGATTTCCCAACCTGAAGAATTTTGGTTTGCCAAAGCTTGTTTACACGAAGACCACGGCGTTCAAATAAGCGCTTACATACAGCTTCTCCCGGACGACCTCCCATATTAAAAATCATAATTCCCATTGGTTTTATGACATCGATTCCTTCTTCAACTGCCCTTGCAATCAACCCTAAGCCAAACTGGTCTTCTACAAAACCCTGAAGATAAAAGAACCATCCCAGTAAAATCAGAGAAGCCCCTCCAGGGCAAAACAAAGAGAGACACATGAACTGGTTTGCAGTCACATGAATTTTTCCTATGTTTCGTCAAAAGATATGATTGTATGAACACTAAAAACATCACCACATCTATCAAAAAGCTGAAGGACATCAGCACAATGATTGCTTTTGTTGTTGAAAAAGAAGAAAAAATAAAAAGATCTCAGACTCCGTTCTGTCCACGAACATAATGATACAGTACATGCTACCAGGAGTTATGATATTCTTGCTAAAGGGAAAAGATACAGAACAGAATTCAGGGTAACACTTTTCTCAAAGCAAATGAACACACATAAGCTTGCCACCATTCATCTTCAATCCAGTTATGCTGGACTTTTCCCTATCCCAAAGAATTTAGAAGTGTTCTTGTGTCTCAGATTATTCATCTAGTTTGAAAAGATGAACCAAATGAATCTCCAATTTGTCTATTTCCGGGTAGTGGCACAAGAACAAAGCACTTCATGACTAACATGGGAGCTTAAAACACTGAAAAATTCTTAACACCAAAATACAACACATTCACGTTACCTTGAGAGTTGTTCTGTGAATTAATTTCAAGAAAATATCACAATTTCCCAACAAATACCCCTCTGTACAGGCATGAATGTAAAAGTGAAAGACAATATGCCACAAATTGGGTAAATAAGCAACCAACCTGAAGTGCACAATAGTTGCTTAATGAATATAAAAATTCTTCACTGGCATTTTCAGTAATCATCTTAGACATTGCATCTGGATTGGGGTTCAGGATCTGCAGTTGAAGCCAAAACCAGTAACGAGTTATACATTTAATGTCCAGCTTGTGGATAAAAGAGCTCCAAACAGTTGAATGCATCATTTAGACAATTCAGATAATATTCTAACCAAATATTTGGTACCTGGGGTATGCAACCAACAATCCTTTCCAGCTCTATCTTATTATCTTTGCAGTAAGATAGCAAATCAGATTCATGAAACTCTACCCTGTCAAGTAGAGTTTTCTTCTCCGCGTCATATATTAGTTCACCTTTGTCATCCAAGGCATTCAGATAAAGATTTATCCAGGACACCTTCACTGCCCTTGGATTTATATCAAGACCGTAAACCTGTAGAAATAACATTTAAGAATGTTGGTCAAAGGGGATTTGATTACAATAAATGACAAGAGGACCCGCTAAATAAGTGTATATACATGCCACAACTACTCATCCTTTTGGTCTCGAAACTGTATGGCATAAGATGACAAATTACAGTAATGAAGGGCGGATCACCACAAACCTTTAAAGGTGACCATTTCTCGGCTATGGCAATGGATATCCAACCATTTCCACAACCAAGTTCAGCAACTGTCCTGTCTCTGAAGATGGAATCAGGATGTCTATTCAGTCCCTCATAAAAAGTAAACGACCAGTTCTCCGGCATGAAGATACTAGGTATCACCATCATTGTCAATTTCTTCCTCTTCTGGAACCCTACAGCAATGAAATGAAAATTTTAATCAAGCTGATTCGTAAAACAGGAAAAGTAAATTTGAATATATAAATGTTTGTTTAAAAAGGAAACAGCAGGTAATGTTCAAGAAAACATTAAGAGGAAGCTTTCTTTCTCTCAATTCGCCAAATGAGTGTGTGATTGACAATCCAGATGGCTACAGAATATTCACAAATGATCCCACATTTTGCATATGAACAAAAACTTTTGGAAAACGTGTATCAGAGTATAATCCCACCGTCCCGTAATTTCCAAGTACCTCACTATCCTCACTTGGCTATGATAAATTTCCAAAATCTTAATTTATCTATGGCGATCAATGATTATAATGGATCAAATTTCCGCAATCTCTTAAACCCCAATATAGCAAAATTGTGCTACCAGATGAACGATCAATTCCACGAATATCAAAAATCGCCACAGAAAACTTCCCCAATTTTACAGACGCTGAAAATGATCATCCGTAACGTATTTACAAATAAATATCCATAGAACAACCAAATCAAAGACGGTGAATAAACAAATTTTCAGATACCTTCATGTTGCTCAAGGTAAATATCTTCAATTTGGAAATGGTAAGTCTCCATGCATTTCTCGGACGCCTCTTTAGTAGCGAACCGTTTCTGAAGATCCGAGAAGAATATCCGAGCATCCTTCCGGGTTTTAGGATTCTCCAGCCGCTCCAACAGTGACCGGAAAGCGCCGTAAGCAGCGTCCCCGGACTGCTGACACTCCTTCAAGAACTGCTCCATTGATCCAGTAACACCGTTCGCCGCCATCACGGAATCTAGAACGGATCACCAGCTGTTTGACGAAATGTACGAGTGAATTCCTCCTGGTATCTGTATAAATACAATCTTGTTGGAGAAGATGAAGAGAGAAGGAATTGCGGAGGAGGCGATAGTGACAGTGAGTGTTATTATACTACTGCTTTGGGGAATGCAACATAATAAAACATATAAAAAAAGTTCGGGGGTGGAAAATTACCGAATTAAGGAAGAGGAGATCCTTTTGGGATAAATATAATAAAGTAGTAGTACCAAGGTGTTGACTTCTGTGGGTGGACCGTGGCGGTAGCTGATTGGTTATTTTATTGCCTAGAAAGGCGTGCGTTTCTGCATATTTTTTTGCTGTTCAGTTTTGGGATTCCCTATGTGCAGCAATTACGTGCGTCCGATTTGTTGTTGCCAATTGCATTTGGTGTTGATTTTTTTTTTTTTTTGGTTTTATTTTTTGGAAGAACAAAACTAATTACTTATGTTTAGGAATTTTAATAAATGATTGTTGCGAAAATCATATTACTACAAGTTTTACCTCCCAAAACGAATTTATCGGCTCAAATAAAAATTAATCTGAATTTCTTCGTATTCGTGTGCACAAAAAAAATAAAATAAAATAAAAAAAATGTGAATTAAAATAGATGAAGTGGTATAGCTTAAAAGACTAACTGTAAGTATTTTATACTACCAAAAATGTAGTTAAATTTCTGTATATCAACGAGATCATAGGCTATCTCATTTTACTTTTCTCTATTTGTTTTTCCCTCGTGTCTCTATCATCAATTCCTCCTTGAACTGATCATCATTTCATTATACTCCTACTATACTCCTGTAGAAACAACTAACAAGTCAAATTTATTTTCATTAATACTATACTCATTAATTTAGTATCAACGTAATAATGCAATATTGAAAATATCATTTTTTTTATTACAAGGTGTACACCGTTGGCAATAGTAACTAATTTCTCTTGCTCATGGTAGGCACCTCGATGGATGGTAAGTTAATTAAAGAGAAAGGCTACACTGTCGAATCATCTAATCAATAGTTTAAACCATTCAATACATATACCAGTATTCGTCCAAATAAAAATGCATGAGACGTTGGGTATTGATTGCTGATTAAACCATTCAGGTAATGATACTACATAATGTTTCTTACATGTAATACTCCCACCCAAATTATTCGTTTTAAACCTCATTTTATTTTCATTGAGTTCGAATTTACACTACATTTTAATTCATTTCTCTCGTTATTTTTCTAAATAGTGATGGGTGATGCGCATATCTTTTTACTAATTAGTAAAGATTCCTATGAATTTACAAATTAAGATCATTATTTTTGGATAGAATGAGTAATAATATAAAAAATTAATCTATTATTTTGAGCTTTAAAAAATCAAATTAACAAAATTATTTTGAAGTTGAATGAGTAATAATAAAACAGACACGATAATAAATTTGAAACAATGGAGTAATATAGAGTATGGGGACAGCAATATATATTTGGACACTTCGTCTACTAAATATAAAATGGAATCTTCCTTATACAAAGATATTTATAAAATGGAATCTTCGAGATGCTGGATCTATCTTTTTTAATGAATCAAAAAATAAGAGGTGCAAATGTTTCAATGAATTTATAGAAGATTTTCTTGGATTGGAATGAAAATATATGCTTCCAAATTGATCACCTACAACTTTATCTCAAAATCGAAAAAGAATTTATTCATTGTTTGTTGTTGAAAGCCTGGCCTTTCGTTTTTGCATGACTTACGAGTTTGCAAAATGAGATTTGGAGAAGGAGAAGAAAAGCATGTAAAGAGAAAAAGAAAAGGTCACGTTGGTTTCAAAATAAAAAAGGTAATATATCTCAATCACATCTATAAATAATAGTAAACTACCTGATAAATCTGTTTAGCGATTATTTTTTTTTTTTAAAAAAAAAAAGAAGAGACCAACGCCTATACTACCACCGGTCGAGGGTATGAAACCCCCATAACATTATGTTTTAATTTTCAATCATGGTTTAATACATAATAGGTGGAAAATCAAACCGTTATAGACCTCTTGGACCTCGAGTCACTAACAAAGCCATATAATCTGCCGCAAAATTGACTTCCCGGTATACATGATCAATCTCCACTATCCAATCTCGCTTCAACGTTTATGACAAATCACGAGTACTAAAGTTACAAGAAATTATGAAAACTACGTTCTCTATAAAATCACGATTAAATCATAATGTAATTTGAGTATTTATTTTTCTTTAATTTGTTCTCCCAACCCAAAAAAAAAAATAAATAAATAAATAAAAGGAGAAGCAATGTTACAGTACCAAGCACAGTAGGTCCAAGTAAGGCGTCCAAAGAATCCTGTTTCAATAGAATGAATACCACCAAACCTGCCTCTAATTGGTGGTCTATATCAATTTTTTAGTGTTTTTCTTATTAAAAATTATTGAACTTGAATAAAGAGAGTAAACTCTTTGAGTTTATTGGCTCACAAATTTTGGTCGGCGCGCAATTAATTATCCAGCAAGTTGGCAATTGGGTATCATCATACGTACTATGATGTTGTCCCAATATCATTTAAAGAATTAAGCAAAAATAAAAAAGGGATACAATTATTGATACTATAGTATATGCTCATTTTTAATATGAAAATCACATACCTTCTAGTACAAAGAAAGGGCAACAATACTCCATTTGTTTAATAGAATAATTTTTTTTTTTTTTTGCGATAAAGATAGTAGCCCATATGAAATTTGGTACATACACCTCTCTTTTTCAAGTTAACAATTTTCATGTTGGCCTTTGGAAAATAAATTATTGTTATTCCTTTTTCCAGTAAAAGCAGCTTATAGTTATTGCAAGAAATGGTCGACATCATTACTTATACAACACTCATTTAGTAGTAGTGAGGCACTCATGCACAATTGGGCGCCTTTTCCTTTTCATTCGCTTTCTTTTTTCCCACTTTTTTTTTTTTATAGCTTTGCTTAAAATAATACAAGTTCATTCACTCTTAAATTTTGCAATAATTTATTTTTAAAAATAACAAACAATGTTATAATGCACTGAAGTGTTTCGCATCAACCAACAATTGTGCTTAGAGATTGGGAATTTGGTAAACAAAGAAACATACCCAAGTTATTGTTGCAAGAATGGAGACATCGGGAATCCAGAACATCCATAGTAGTATGTACTCCTTCCGTCTCATAATTATTGTCCAGTTTGAGTTTTTATTTTTAGTTCAAATTGTACAAAAAGTAACATCTCAAACTGGACAATAATTTTGAGACAGAGGGAGTATTTAAATTTCTATCACAAAAAAAAAATTATAAATGAAAAACAGTTAATTATATTCAATTTCAGAATCGAAGTTCTGTATAAACATTGAACTCGTAAAAATAGTTTACTTTTCTGAATAAAAACAGCTTGTAATTGATCTTCAAATACTAAATCGAAGTGCTTGTTTCATTATCCAGTTAAAAATAAATTACGCTCCCGGTCCTTTTGTAACCTCATCATTTGTGTAGAACATCTGAATATGATGGTTATTGACTAGTAACATCTTTCTTTAAAGGACAAAAAAAAATGCCATAAATTAATCTGGGGATGGTCCCTGGTCGTGTTTCTCGTGGAAAAAGTTTTATAAGGAAGGTCGTAATGTGGGAATTGATCGTCTAGGCAGATTTTTTTTTATTTGAAGTACGGCCAAAAGTTTAGAATAAATGACTTTGTAAAGAGTTTTTGTCCTTGCAAAATATTTTCTCCGTCACTTCACTCATGCAAATCAATTTAAAAAGAAAGCAAATTTATGGATATTGGAGAGTGCGATTAAAAGAAAATGAACAAAATTTATGGTAAGTTAAACTTGTGTCTTGAAAAGCAAACCAATCACTGCAACAACAAATTTTCTGTTTTCTGGAAACAGTAAGATTGTTCAATTGAAGAACAGAAGCAACAGAAAGATTAATTTCACCAAATTAATGAAATGTGACTTGAAATGGGCTTTTCAGGGGTAAGAAATGGTGGCAATGTGGTTATGAGCCACAGTTCCAATCCAGAGTTTCCCATTGGTCTCCCTAACTTCACTCACTAGCTTCATCACTTTCCCTTGCTTGTCTTCAAGCACATCCACAATCTCGCCTTCCTCGTTGAACAATGAAATCACTGTATACATTCTCATCCCAACCATCTTAGCCAAGTACCTCATTGGGATCGGTAGCCGGAAATACATGTTCCTCATCCATGGATTCCGAATCATGATCTCTTGTATTTTGGTCCGGCAGCAATCAATGGCTACCCAGAACTCACCATTCTCGTTAATCCTTACGTTGTCTGGGAATCCAGGCAGGTTTGAAACCAGTTCTGTTGTGCCTGATTTGGGACCCTCTATCCAGAACTTCATTAGCCTGTAGAGAATGCTAACTTTTTATAGGATGGGAAAAAAAATCACTAAAATGATAAGAATGGAAAGAAGGTTTTGGATGGTTCACCTGCAATTAGTTGTTTCTGTATAAAGAAGAAAAGTGTGATCTTTGGATAATTGAACTCCATTTGGGAATGCCAAACCTTCTAAGACTACATGAGTTGTTTTGGTTGGAGGGTCATATCTCAACAGCCGGCCGGTGGATTCACCTTCCAGTAATATGAAGAAATGTCTTCTGCAAATAATCATTGAACGCTTTTTAGCAATGTCAGTTATCAAAAAGGCTTTTTTTTTTTTCCAGGATCATCAAGGCAATAGGATTTTGAACTTACACTCTGTCGTATTTCTTGCTGGTGTCTGTGAAGAAAATGGATCCATTTTTATGGATATCGAGATCATTTGCGAAAAGAATTGGTTTGCCATCCACATGAGTTGATAAAGGAGTTGCAATCCCTCCTTCAGGGCCGACAACCAACAGACCATAATAAGCATCTGCAATGTACAAGTTTCCAGTTTCTTTGTCAAATCTCAGGCCTAATGGTCTTCCACAATCTGGCTCTACTTTCCATTGCTTGCTCGTTGTTGAATCTTTCCCTCTAGCACAAACCTTCTCGGACCTGTTAATTCATCGAATGCGATCAAAATCAGCGCTTAGTAATAGCAGAAATTATGCATGAATATAAACATAATGCTTACCAGTTTCGAGTTACTAAAGCAAATGTTTCCCATCCTTCATCTTTTCCCATCCACCTTACGACGCGACCATCAGCCAGGCCGGCATAAGGGCCGCGGCCTAAGGCGTCGAATTCAAGCGATTCGGGTCCAAAAATTTCGTCGACAAACTCCAGATTCCCCTGTCCTAATCGGCTCCGGTTGTCGCCTGGCCAATTCTTCATGACCTGGTCAAATGGCGCAACATCATTTCTGACAGGCCTAAAATCCAAGCCTCCAACAGGACTCATTTCAAAAGGGTCCATTATTAAGAAGCCTAGCGCTAGAACAAGCAATACCCAGTAGGGATGCTGCAAAAACAGATCAATATCTCTGTACTGGAATTTCTTCTCCATATTCAAAATTGGAGGGATTAATGGGTGTGATTTTTGTCGTCTCTGAAAGAAGAGGAGAAGAGGATGATGGAGGTTAAATATAGCATTGTGTTAAGAAATCCATACTTTCTTTGTGACAAAGATTGTGGTTTGGATTAAGGTTGCTGTTTGTTGATCATGTTTTTCGCGTTGGCCTTTTGCCTTTGTTGAATCTTTTGTGATCAAATTCAAAGAGACAAATTGAGTTCATTCTGTTTCGCTGCTTTCAGGCTTTTGTAAATCTCAGTTTAATCCCAGATTTGGACCATTTCGTAACTTCGAGTTACTTATTGGAGGTGAATTTTAAATTACTTCCCATCCCATTATAGTACTCCTCAATTTCATCTATTATCCCTTTTACCCTATTAAAAGCAGAATACAGGATGTTGATGTGGCAATTTCTAATTAAAAAATTTTGGCTCCAAATGCACCATATTGCTTTAACCATTCTGCCACGTGTCATCCCTTTTTAAAAGAAAAAAAAACTTCTTATCCGAAAAAACAAAAACTAATTTACAAAAATAGCTACACAATTTTAATTCCTAACACTTATCATTTATCAATCAAATTAAGATAGGATTTAAATTTGTCCATAAAATTATCCCCTTTATTACTTCACATTCTTTTGTATGATTTCTGCATCGGTGTACTTTTCAATATTTTTTTCTCCTTTTGCAGATGATTTTTTATTTTTATATTATTTTTGGCTAAAAAAGGGAAAAAAAATAAATGTGTAGCTATTTTATTTTTTCCAAATCAAAAATTCATTTATCTATTAACATAAAATTAAAGTAGAGGGGGCGCCCGGGCATCTGACTGGGCCAAACATCTAGTACTTAATTAAAGCATCATACAAGAAGGACAAATATTATCTCCACGTTTAAAATTTTCCCGCTAAAGACCTTTTTTAGTACAAAATGAAAACTGAAACGTGACATTCTAAAATTTCAAGAAAAATTTGGTTTCATTAAAAAAAAAAAAAAAAAGCTAACTATGGCCGTAAAAATCTAAAAAAGATAATAAGGAAAATTTTTGCGGTTTAAATGTAAAGATTTAAATGTAAATAAGATAATAAGGAACACCGTAATAACACTCCCCAATTTTAGCTCCATCATCGGAGTCAGTTTGTTTCAACAATGACCAAATTCTCTATAATAACTTATCTTCAAAATTCGAATTTTACATTTTAATTGTAAGATCAAATCCCTAAAATCACTCTCAATTATCTCTTCACCGTATCATTCTCAGAATTTCGTCTCATGGTTCAGATCCAAAAAATAATTCCTCTAATCAAATCCCTGCTTCTTCTTCTTCAATTCAGCAGAACGGGGACAATAATTGTACACACATCATCATCGATATCATGCGGAAGCGGCAGCATCATAACGTGATTTTTAGGAGGGGTTTTTATATTTGAGTAGTGACAACATCATAGCATGATTCTTAGGAGGGGTTTTCAGATTTGAAGAGCGACAGCACCATCAGTAAACAAAATTTTTTTTTCCCTCAATCTCTTTTCCTCCTCGGACGTTTCAAGAAAAAGTCTGACCCTCCTACCGAATCTGATGAATAATCTCAGATGGCAGAGGGAGTCATAGAAGAAAAATCCGCCGCTATAGTTCTCACTTCCTTCATATCTGAAGGTTAATTTTCTTTTTTTTTTTTTTGTCTTTTTACTGTTTCCGGCTTTTAAAATGTGGTTTATGAGATGCCGATGTACCTTAGATTATAAAGCTAATACAAGAGTAAAGCATCCGACGATCTTGGACAGTGAGTCTGTGGAGTCCAGAATAATGACTCCTATGAAAGGGAGTTCAAATCGGTGGCCAAATATTAGCACTTTTGATTTTTTTTAAATTTTATTTTTGGCCTCCGTCGCTTCTTCTCTTTGAATCGTAGGGTTCTCTTTCAACCGTAGGGTCATAAGCAAAAAAAGTTGATGTTAGCTTTGATGACGCACAAAATGAATCTATAGTTTTCTGAATTATTTCTACTTGCTCTAAAAATACCTCCGCAAACAGAATTAAATCGTCCATAAAAAAAAGGTGAGATAACCATTCTCTGCCATGGCTAAGCAAAATAAGTTCCCAATTACCTTTAGCAACTTCCATATTAATGGCGTGAGCTAATCTTTCCATATAAAATACAAAAATATATGGTGATACCGGACCCCCTGTCTAATCTCTCTGGACAGACCAAAAAAACTATCGATAAGTCTTTCTTATAAAACTTGTGTTGAGATAGTTAGGAGACAGTATGCTCAAAATTACCCAGATACAATGGGATCTCGCATCTTGAAGCATCACCCTAACACGGTCACATACTTTAGCTAAGTCAATTTTGAAGGCCATCCTAACATGTTTTACCTTTCTTATTTCACATTGAATGAATTGCCTCTTAAACTATCACAATCTTGTTAACTATGTTCCGACGTGGTTCTTCGTAGAATAAATAATTACTAAAGAGGACAGTAGTTTTGAATACTTCGTACTGGGGCAAAATAATTAAATCAAGCAAACATGACTTTAACAATTAAAGAAATCCTAATTATATTACTTTAAATACTTTAGAGTTTATTTTATTTCTTATCTTTTATGTGGGGGGTGCTTATTATAATATAAAAATGCTAAAGTGGTTAAAAACAATTACATATAAGTATTTCATCGACCAAACAATTAAACACAAAGAGACGAAATTGTTTACATTATTATTATTATTATTATTATTATTATTATTATTATTTTGAATTTTTCACTCACATAAAATACAAATCATGTGATCAAACTCTTGTAAACTATGTTGAAAAAAAATCTACATTTCAAAAATAAAATTGTTTAAATGAGAGCGGAAAAAATTATATATTTAAAAAAGTGGACATTAAAAGTAAAATCTCCTTTAGAAATTAGGAAATATTAAGGTTTATTTTTTAAGTTAACCTAAATATATATTTTCATCATGTGAGTTTTTATTTTTTCTATAATAATATTTAAATACCATCATTTATATTAATTTGAAAATAAATGTAATGCATGTGTTAAAAAAAATGAAGTGCTAAAGCCATGTTTGTATTATTATGCCTCTAATCTATAATACTTAATTAAAGCAGCAAACAAAAAGGACATGTGTCAGCACCACAATAAAAATTTTCCCGCCAAAAGTCATTTTCAGTACAAAATCATTTTTGACACGTGACACTCTAACTAATCAGAAAAAAATGGAATAGATAAATACATAAATCCCTATTTTATAACTAAATAAAAATTTCTTAATTATAGGTATATACTAATCCCTTAAAACAATAATATTTAGTTGATAAAATCAAATGTAAGGAAATCCCCTTAAATCAAGTGAAACACCGGTAATGTCTTCCCAATCCCCAATTTCAAAGGATCTCTTCCATTCCGCTTCCATCTCACACCCAGGCCTTTGAATCAATTATTTAAAATCTGACATCAATTATTAATCCATCTTTTTTCACAACAGAGAAAAAATAAGCTGTCATGAAAGAAATTTGATTTTAAGGATGATTTTTTTTATTCTTCTGTTGTAGATATTGGCTTATGATTTATGTAAACTCGGGCATAAGTTAACTATTGTAAATTAAATATTGTAAATATATGTGCATAGATTTATGTGTAATGACCCACTTTCTGTCCTTTCAATCGATTTTTTTATTCTTCTATTTTTTTTTATTCTTTTAAGAATGATTCGTATTTTTTATATAATCGATTTAAAAATACAGGCGGCACTCCGGGCATTCACCCGGGGCAAGCATCTAGTAGAAATTATTTAAAAATATTGTCCTCTTTATTAATTATTATATTTACTCTCCATTATACTTCATCTAAAGTTTTTTTTCCTTTATTTTATTGATTTTTAAATTCAAAAAGTAAAAAAGATAAACTTGGTAGCTAGGGGAAATCGGGCCGACAACCCAAGCTTGAGTGGCTTCGCCCTTGAGCCCGCTTATATATAGATGACAGATTCGCGAGATTGTTATTCTTCTCCTTTTTCTTTTTTACCTATATCTTCCTTCTTCTAACCCCGGCTCAGAGTTCTATCCAATCGCCATATTCAGCCAAAAAAGGGCAGCCAAAAAAGGGCAATCAAGCATGGATCTAACTGATCTACGATTTACTGCTGGATATACCGAAGAGGGAGCGACTTATTGGTATGGCGATTATCTAGAAGGGCTACCGAAACCTTCCTCGGGTCCTTATTCAAGCGTCGGCATTGATTACAAGAAGGAGATCACCTATGGGGTTAGTTCTCTCTCTATATATCTCGTTTAGTTACATGTATAATTCCCAACCTATTTCAGTTGATTGTATCTTTTAATCGTTGAATTTTTAATTGTTTTGCTTGGATTCAGATGGGAGGCGTCGCTGATTTAGTGAAAACCATCCCTTATTATAGGACCTCTCTGAAGGTTAGTTTTTTATTATTTTTATTATTATTTTTTTATTTTTCTGTTTGTTTGTTTGTTTTTGTTTTTTTTTTTTGTTTTTTTGGTTTAGTCGTCTCCCTTTTTTTAACCTTTTTATTTTGCTTATTTTAAATTGGTTTTGTTATCAAGGAAGGAGAATTAATCAACGCTGAATCCCTTAGGAAAGATCAAGTGCTACGTGGCTTGATACCCGTCTATTTCGACGTTCTTCATTGTGATACTACCTGTATAGATCTGGGGCCCCCATCTTTTGCTTTTCACTACAAAGGAGGAGGGATTTTGTTGGCTGTTAATCATCCGCGGGCTAGCAAGGATGACTGTGGACCAGGTATGGTTTTGATTAGTTTCTGATTTTAGCTGTTGCGCTGGTATGTTCTTGCATGTATTGCGTTGACCATAAAATGTGTAATTGCTCTAGCACACGAACTGCATTGTCAAGTTTGTATAGAAACATACGTATTCTTTATGATTTTGGTAGAAAAATTGAGCTCTTGGTACTGGTTTCTGCTTAGCTACGTCTTGCTTTCGAAAGAGTAAATGACACAACTATAACTTTGTTTATTGCATTCAATGTCAGGGTCACCGTCAGGCTTTCCATCTGAGTCGTCTGAGTCTGGGAAATTTGAGTTGCCACAGAATGTAACTGATATTTCTTCTCACATCATTGCCACTATTTCGGGAAAGCTTGAGGACTGCGAATTGTTGCTCAAAGAACTCAAGATGAAGGTATTCCTTGTGAATCTTTGCTTGAAATTATTTCGTTGGGAGTGTGATTGCTTGTCATCCCCGTGCCCATTCCAGAACACAAATAGGATTCCATTTTGTTTTTTTATTTTGCCCTCTTATGCCACTTTTGGAAATGTGATTATATCTACCTTTGCATGCTAGTGTTCTGTACCTGAAGGAGAGGAGAGAAAGATTTCTGTTGTTGAGGTATCACTGTTGATGGCCGATATTCTAGCATATCGTCGTGAAGTGGGACTGGTTGCTGGGTGGGATGAAGAATCAGGTGCTGAATTGTGTCGCGTGGATGGTATGGGGGTAGTAATCAAAGGGAAAAGATTTGCCTCTGGTTCTGCACTTGTAAAGACGTATCATAATATGGAAAGATATGGCGGGTATGTATCCTTTTCCTTGGTTCTTACAGTATGATTTGGCATTAGCTTCGTCACTTTCTTTGATTTGTTGTTTTGGTGGCAGGTATTCCAGTTGGGATTTTCGTACCGCTGCCAATTCGATCATAGATGTTGCAAACAGGACTAGGAAAGGTCCAAAGAAAGTGATTGCTCAGCTTGGTAGTCTTGGTGAAGATTTTGTGAGTGGTATGTGACTCTCTCCATGCTACTTTCTTCATTTTAACACAAAAATGAAGAAAGCAACATGGGCCTCACTTAACTTGGCAATCATTTTTTAAGTGAAGGTCATTTTCCACCTAATTTTTTTCCTCACTTGGGTGCATTCCTTTTGTGTTATGTTTTTCTCAGTGTACCACATAGGACATCATGGGTGGCAGGTGCTCTATGGCGGTGAGATGGAGGTGCAAAAATGCTTGCCAGAGTGTGGCTTTTGTCGATCCCATATTACCGGAGAGCTTGTATTTTAGGACCATGACTTGGATCATTTCATTCTGTTTTTTTTTTTTTTTTGGGGTTTGAATTTATGTATTTGGGTGGACTTTTAATTTAAGTTTCTTTGAACAAAAGAATACTTTAGTTTTTATATTGTCTCTTGACTTGTGCTCGAGACCGTAGAAGGTTTGAATCTGACTGATCTTTTTTAGGGTTTTCTATTGCCTTGTTGGTAAGGGGGTAGCATTTTTAACCTTCATTGCTTTTGGTTTGAAAATGAGATATGTATAAAGTTGGGACATCCTGGATTTGCTTTGCTCTAGTACCTTCTGAGTATGGGAAAATGCGGTAAAGGGACAATAAGCATCAGGTTCCGTTTGGTTAGATTGAATTGCAATTGAATTGAAGTTACAATACTATTAAATTGAAAATGAGATATTAATATTATAATTCAATTCTAATTCTCTTGTTTGGGAGATCTTGAAAATTTACTAGAATTAAAGTTTTAATTTCAATTCTTGCGTTTGGATGCATAAAAATTTAGATACTTTAGAATTGAAATTAGTTTGTTCTTGTATAACTAATAATAGTATAATTTATACTTCTTGTCCAAAACTTTTTTTTTTTAAAAAAAAACTTATTTTATTATGGATATGTTTAACACAAACAAATAAATAAATTCATCGTGTACATGTATATTTGACTACTTTGTGGTTGTTTAACTAATACAATTTTTACTTTTTTTTGTTAAAATGAATTCTTATTATTAATTAATTTCCTATATCAATTTTGTAATTTATTATGTACACACATTTTTGTTCGAAACAAAAGAAATATTATTACGTATAAGAACTATTAATATGATACTTAAAATTCTTACTTAATACACAAACAAGTAACACGTAAGCATCTTTGTTTTCCTCTCTTTTATTATTTTTCAAAATTTTTAATTTTTGATGTTTTGATTTATATCAAAAATTAAAAAGATTTTTATTATATAACATTGTAAATTCAGTTTATGAATATTGAGGTTCATTTATACATAGATTAACATTAATATATCATATATGCTTAAATGTTTTTATTTTTAGTATATAATTATATATGAAATGATAGATACTTAAAACTCAACTTACATAATTTTTTGTGAAAAGATGCCATGAATAGTTAATATATATATATGTATTATAATATAGGTGATATATATGGAACAATATTTCTATTAAAAAATAAAAACGTTATGTTGTTTACTATGTCATAATATAATAAAAATATTAACCAAAACTAAAATATTTAGTTATTAATTTTTTTGGTTACAGCTATACTTTTGATTTTTTTGTAAAAAAGATACAATGTTAATTTTAGATTGATTTCGTTGATAATTATTAAAATGATATATATGAAATAATAATAATAATAATAATGAGACAAACATCCCAAAAAAAAGAAAAGAAAATCGCCAGGAAGCGCTGAAAGCAAAAAAAAGAAAAAGAAAAAAGCTGAAAAAAATAAAATTATAAAAAATATATAAAAAAAAAGGCCAAAAAACAAAAATTGATAGGACGACCCGTTTAGGTTATAACCCGAAACGACCCGGCTATGACTCGCATGTTTTTTTTAAGTGTCTTGAATTTAGATTCTAATTATTTGCTCCCACAAAAGAATTAAAAATAAAGAATTGAGCCCTATCTTAAATTATAATTACAATTCTTTGACCTCTATTTTTAGCAACCAAATACAAGAATTGGAATTATAGAGCTCCAATTCCAATTCTTGGTCCCAATTCAATGCAACCAAACAAAGCCTCATTGTAAAGGTTGTTTTACAGGGAGTGGCTGATAAATGGAATCACTGCCAACTTGTTTTGTGTGGACCAATTCACGATACTTATCAGTTAGCCCTAAAAATTGAATGTGCGCTCAATCCATGAAACTTAAAAGGTAGGAGGTATCTTATCGGACTTCACTAGATGGTTCTCAAAACCTGCAGAAGTTATTTATTCTTAGGACCTGTTTGATAAAAGTTAGTATTTACTTCTAAGTGAAATAGAAATGCCGAGTTCATTAAACAGTTATGAAATAAGGAATAAGCTAAATTTGACGGCTTATATTTTATATTCTAGTTTTGTTATCAAACTCGTTAGAAATAAAAAACAGTGTTTAATGGATTAATTTTAAACATTAGGTTGTGCTATCAAATAGACCCTCATACTGAAAATACATTTCATTAATGAATCTAAAGATATTAATCAAGAAGTTGAAGAGGATGATAGAGAAGACATTTGATAATAGTGATCTACGATTGCACAACCTGCAAAGTCTTGTGATTTCGGTAATGTTTCTAAGGAGGAAGGCACCGCGGATGTTAATCTTCATAGTTTTGAATAGCAATCCTTATTGGAATACATCCCTTGTTTATGAAATTCCAAAATGTCATCCTTTGGTTTGTGAGGTTCAGGATCTCATAGAGTTTTAAGAGAATCCTAAAGATGAAGCCATGATCGAACTAGTTGGAGATACACTAGAGACATGTCAATTAAGTTTGATGTAAAGGAGGTACAACTTCAGAACTTTAATGAAAAGGCCAAGGTCGAATATGGAGTGAATGTTATTGTCCAGAACAGAAAGATCAATACAATATAGTAAGCCTAATGAGAAGAATGCGCATATGGACTTCAGAATTCTAATGAAATTCAAGTGCAACTGGAGAAGATTCTGCAGTAAGGGAAATTTTAGAGAATTAGTTCATGAAATATCCTGGTTCGTGTAATGAGCAAAACTTGTTACTCAAAATCCTTGCAACTGGGGATAACCTGAATGACAATTGCATGAAGTCTGAAATTGATCAACTTTCAGAACCAATTCAAGTCAAAATTTATGATCTTGGAACTCCAAAGATTGATTTAGTTTTTGGTGAGATCATGAGTATGTGCAAGAGAACAAACTTCAAATGCCTTTGATCACATAGGGACTTCAACAAAAAGAAGTTCTTGCATATAGATTATGCTGCAAACAGATGGCTAAAGCTGCAGATTTTGGATTCCTCATTCTTTGATACTCCCTCCGTCCCCAAAAAAAAAAGTTCACATTGAGTTTTGATGAATGGAGTATTTCAGAACTCGAGGATGAGTTTTTTCAAAGCAAGGTAGAATTATGGGGACAAACAAAGGAAGAAGAATACTATATCTAAGTTATTCTATAGTTACACCCAGAATCATCATGATCCTTAGGAAAAACCAAAGTGTTAAAAGTTTTGGTTAGTTTTAAGTTCTTAAGCAAGCAAAAATTTATTTTCTTTATTTATTTTTGGGTTAATATCAGAAATACCATGCCCAAGCATAACTCTCCTTCTTCTCATCCTTCATAATTACGTATCCAATCAAAAAATTCTTTTTGGTTGGAATCACCCCAATAATTTGTAACAGCGGCATATTATACATGTTTGTTCTATATGTAGTATCCACGCCAATATACCACGGGTATGCTCGAATCAACTCTACAGATACTGGATGTGCACAGAAAATATGACTCAACATACCTTTTTCATTAGCAGTAGTAATCACATACTTGTGTTGCTGAGTAATGTCAAAGAAGTGATCCACTAACGTTTTACCCTTCCTCTTTTCCACCTGCATCCTACTCTTATAGTTGTATATCTGTTTGATCACAACGTGCTCGTCCGGGCATTTCTACTGAATCGTCCGCAGCATTGCAGACGGTTTTACATTAATGGCAGTCAACTCGTCAACAATCGCCTTCGATTTATCACTAAGGCCGCTCATCTGCATATGTCCCTCCTCGAAGCTGCCAAACGGGTGGTTATGCGTACCATTACGATCGGGACATGAACGAATCCCAAAAGTAGATTCGCCTGGGCGAATTTGGGCTAGAAGCCGGAACGGGCATCCACAATACTACGCCTTTGTTTCTCGCACCCGATTCTCTGTATCTCTAGGGGGAACACTCTTTGGACATCGTAATAATTTCTTAGTCTCATCTGTCTTGGACGCCTTAACCACTGTGAAATTAAGAGATATTGCAGTTTTTTTCGCCCATAGCACAGCGTCTTCAATAGTTGCGAATCTTATGTTAGTATCGAAATGATGACTGTAATCAACACCGTCACCACCATAATCCTGTAAATGAAATATATAAAATTTTAAAAAATACAATATACATAATAAAATAACTAATTCATTTACGCAAACAATAATTAATTATTAAAGCTAAATACCACATACAATTATAAATTTAATTAAATTAAACAAATATATACCACATACCTAATATAAAATAATTATTAAATTAAACAAATTATACCTAATAATTTAAATTAAACATGTTACTAAAACACAAAAAAAATTAAATGACATATAAAAAACAATAACACAACATTCAACAACTAATTACATTAATTATATATAAATTTAACTAAAATAATGAAACAATAATACAACAACTAATTACATTAATGATAAATAAATTTAATTAAATTAATTATAACAACAAAATTACAACAAAAAGTAAAAAAAAAAAAAAAAAAAAACTATCTGCCCGGGCTGGCCGACCTGACCGGCCGGGTTGGCCAGCCCGGGCAGATAGTTTTTTTTTTTAATACAATTTGGGGCAAAAAAATTTACCGGTATCGATGGTACTTATTCCCGCTGTTGTATGTCTTGTTCTGCCATTTTTTTAAACTTCGATTTTTAGTAAACTAACGTTTTTAAAATTTGATAAAAAGGAAGAAGAAGATGAAGTTGGAGAAGGAGAAAAATAGAAAGAAGAAGAAGAAATGAGGAAGGAAAAGAAGAAAGGGGGAATAAAAAGGGTTCAGGGGCAAAATTGTCAAAAATAAATTGCGAGTGAGTAATTTCTGAACTGCGAAAAGTAATGGCCATAAATTGAACCGAACTAAATTCTTTAGATTTGGGTAAAGAGACTCTTTAGGACATTTTGACACTTAGATTTTTAGACAAAAAATAGATTTTGCCTATAATAGAGTTATTATAGATTATTATAGATAGATAAATTATAGTTATAGATTATAAATAGATTATAGATCATAGATTTTACTCTCTCACACTTTCTTTATTGACAACCAAACAGGCCCCTAAGGGCCTTTACGGGAGAATGGCAAAGTAAATAATTACTAAAGCCTTGAGCATTGACCATTGAATTTGAGGTCCATCAGCATCGGGACTTCTTTCGTCTCGTAGTTCTGGAATTCCGATCAGCCAACGTCGGATTGCTTAGCAATGTTATGAGTGTCTTCTATAACAGAACTTCATAGGTTTAACTCGCCATCCATTTGGCGCGGCCGCCAGAGATTCTTCCCGGAAAAATACTACTACCTTTTTTCGATTCATCTGGAGAGAAATAGCATACTAATCTATTCCCGGTGTATTTATTTTCTTAAATATTCGATTCCAAGAAGAAACGTGACATCCGTTTGTAGCTCACTGTGAATACTATTTGGATTTGGATTATCGTGATCACATCGGAAAAGGGTTCCTTTCTTGGAATTAGGATTGGAGCTGAAGGAATAACATGGGGAATGTATTCGTGAAGAAACCCAAAATTACTGAGGTGGATAAGGCAATACTTTCTCTTAAGACCCAAAGGCGCAAGCTTGGTCAATATCAGCAACAGGTAATACGTCCCAAATTTCCTTTTCTTTTCCCTCTCTATTTTATTTATTTATTTATTTTTTTTTCATTTTTGCGTTGTGGAATTTGTGAATTTAGCTTAAGGATTAAAGGGTTTTCTGTTTCTATGTTGTAGTATGAAGTTGTAGTGTTTTCTTCCGGAGTTTTGTTTGTTCTAATTTTGACTAGATAGGATCCAAATGGTGAGGTCAGTAAGTATATGGGAGGTAATAAATTTATGATTAATGACTTGACAAGGTCCTGACCTATGTTTAAGTGTATTTTGCTCGTATTGGTGCTCTTATGCAATTGAACTTGGCTGTCTCCCGAAGTAATTGTGTTGCCTGGCTTATAAATTTATCTATGTTGGGAATTTGATCACAGAATGTAACTAGAGCTTATATTTCTGGTCGTGTATTTGTCTGCTTTTCTCTTTTATACTTGAACTTGTACCTAAAATGTTGGAATCTGATTTGCTATTCGTATCTTGAGGTCCAGCATTCACTTGTGACGAACATTTGCTGATTTCAGTTGGAGGCTGTCATTGATGCTGAGAAGCAAGCTGCAAAGGATTTACTTAGAGAGAAGAGGAAAGATAGGGCCTTGCTAGCTTTAAAGAAGAAAAAAGCACAGGAGGAATTATTGAAGCAAGTGGATGCCTGGCTAATTAAGGTTGAGCAGCAGGTGAGTCATTCGCTCGGTCAAATATCTCTATATATTAGTAGTTAGTATTCTGAATAGATATTTCCTTTTGAAAGTGCGCCAGAGCTTAGAATGCATATTTTTCTTTAGTTGTCAGATATTGAGTTGACTAGCAAGCAGAAGGCTGTGTTTGAGAGTTTAAAGGCTGGAAGCAATGCAATTAAAGCTATGCAGAGCGAGATCAACTTGGATGATGTACAGAAACTAATGGACGACACTGCTGAGGCAAAAGCATATCAAGAAGTAAGCATTTGCTTTTCTGGTTCATCTCTTTTCTATTGAATCATTTCTGCATAATTTGGCAGTGGTGGTAGAGCCTGCTTTTGTTTTTGTTTATGATTTGCTCCTTCTGTAATATGACCAAATTATGTTTAACTTTTAACTGTTAGCATTTGATGTCAATCAATTAAGCAGCTAACTGTTGGATGTGTGACGTGTCTATTATTATTTAGTATTTGTAGGTACACAATGTTCATATGAGAAACTGGATACCTCCCATCCCCCTCCTCCACCCCCACACACACACACATAATAATTTCTTTTCTACTGAATGCCAGTGTAAGGCCCTGGTATGTTGAAAGTTGTGATGCATAATGTAGAAGATGAAGAATCACAGGGATGTTTGTAGCTCAGATGGAAATTTTCACATGCTAAGTAGTTCTTAAGGAAAAAACTTTAACTACTGCTGTTGTCTCCTCTGCTGAACTCCCCTTCCAAATTTCAATAATATCTTATTGTATTTTAATTCTGCCTGAAAGATGCATAGTTGTATCTGCTACTGTCTCCAAGATAATTGATGGCTCATGCATGGATCAACTTTGCTAAGGTTTTGTTTGTTTGTGCTATCACTTGGAAGCCATTCTTTTAGATTAGCAGTAGCATCTGCGTTTCATGAAGTTACAATGGGAGAGATTTTGGGAACCTGACGTTTATTAACTATTGTGAAGAGATACCTTCCTCGTTCCCGTTGTTTGTGGGAGGACACTCCTTTGCACGTTCTATATTACATGGCTTAGTTCAGTCTTTGTGTTGTTTGCATGGGATCTTCAGCGATAAGTTTTTCATTTCTCTCTTCTCCACTTCCCATTTTTCTTGTCTGAATTTGGTTTGTGATTGAAGATGTTGTCATCCTTGTTAGTTAACTTTTTAGTTTGCTTCATTTTACTTAATTATGAAGGACACTTTTGGTTGAAATCATTGAAACCCACATTATTAGTGGTATTAATTCCCATTCCCCCCACCCCCCTCTCTCTTCTTTGCAGGAAATTAATGCAATACTGGGAGAGAAGCTATCAGCAGAAGATGAAGAGGAAATTTTGGCAGAATTTGAGTCTCTCGAAGCCCAGGTGTGTACATTTTTCTGATTCCACTCTTTCTGAATCTAGACCCTGCATTCTCTATGCGTTAGTTAATGATTTTGCTGAAACACTGGACTCTTTCAAATTTTCTAGTTGGACACTTTTACTTTGTACTTTAGCTTGTTTTCCTGCTTGATTACTTTTTATGACCTGTTTTCTGAGCAAACTTGGTTTGCATAGTAGACTTGTACAACTTTGTCTACCTTATTGCTAACTAGGATCCAAAGGAAAAAAATTTGAGGAATGCAGAGTAGTTGTGTATTTTACAAACTTCCGTGCTGTCTGATTGCTGTTATGTTTACAAACTTCCGTGCAATATGCATTTATGCTAGTGAAAGCTAAATATTTATTTTTATTAACATTTGAATACTTGTCATCTGTGCAGATGGCACTTCAAGATCTGCCAGAAGTTCCGTCCGCAGTTACACCTCCTCCAGGAAAGGATGAAGAAATATTGGATCTTCCTGATGTACCAACCAAACCACCGGCTGCCCCAGTTGCTGAAGATGGTGTGAAGGATCAAAAGAAAGGTATCTCTTTCTTCCTCTATCAATCATACCTACATGTATGTAGACTGCACAGATACAATGTACAGGTGTTAGGTTTCTTCTGTTTAACTAATAATTCTTTTGGAATTGCGTCTCAGTTTTGGAAGAACCTGTACTTGCTTGAGGAGGGATTTGAGAAATTTCGTCAGAAACTTCATCTAGTCCAGGCACGCACATATTTGGCTGTTTCATGAAGACATTTGTGAAGCCGGGATATTGTTGCCTGACAGCTTTGTGCAGCTTGGGTTGTATTTGGGATTCCTTTTGTATTTTACTTGTTTTTGGGTTTTCTGATGGATTCTTTGGAATATGTACAATGGTAGCTGGTAAGGTTTTCTAATAGTAACATGTAACTGCAATCTGTCATCTGTGTACAGCAGCAGATGTTGCCATAATTCTAATGTCATTTTGAGTTAGAGAAAATTGTGACAGTGGAGTTGAGAACTTTTCCTCAGTTTTTTCATAATGAAATAAACTGTATATAGTTTATTATTGGCTGAATGGAGTAAATTAACTGTCCACTGGCTAAAAAGGTAGGTGTTGAATCAAGTTGTTAAGGATGAATTCAACAGAATGGAGCAAAACTCCTGAGAACTCCTGAAGTGACATTGATCTGAGTTCAATATTCCTGACCAAAAAGTTACTGACTGCAATTTCACAAATGAAACTGGGAAAAAGCCAAGCAAATCGGGTCGTGTATAACAAGAAATGTTGATTTCCATTCTATAATTCAAGTTTCAACAGCAGCCACGCTAATTTAATAAAATTTCTCACAATTAGATGCCACAAAAATTTGTGGCCCCAAATTTCAAGCATCAAAGGATCAATCACATATTATCTGGCTGCAATATTTTACTGCTTGCTACAATGGGAAAATTCAGTATACCCAGAAATCCTTTTGATGGTAATTCAAGTAGGATGGAGGGGCAATGATAATGACAGTTATCTTACCTAGTCATTTCGGCAGTTTTCAGGCCATTATAAGAGAAAACATTTGGAAAAATGTATTCTATTGTTTTACCCTCAAGACCTCAAGTCAAATAAGAAGTCCTCGAGGAACATATGTTTCCTGTAAAATATTCTTAAAAATTCCCGAAAGACCAAGATCCTAAATACGACGACCTTTCTTCTTCTTTGTCAGTTTCAATCGTTGGTTGTTGAGAGCAAAAGTGGTTGTAACAGTTAAGCTTCAGTTTTGAAGGAGAGGAGAAAAAAAATGTCAACTCTCCACCTCTGCTGCTTACCGGTCTATTACTCTTCTTCAACCTCTTCTCAATTGGTGTTGCGAAATACTAATGTCATCTTCAGGAAATCAATTCCCTTGCTTTCATCTGCACCGACAACTCATGGCGAATTCAGTAAACGACACCCTTCTGTTGGAAAGTTCAGTGCTTTGCCAAATTCAAGATTGGCCCATTTGAGGATTTCTTGCTCTGCAGTATCTGGAGACTTGGAAAAGGTGAGATATACGGAAACCCATGTGTATCTGTTTGCATTTGCTAGTTTAGATAACTTGTGGGGAGGTTTATGGTTCATGGTTTGTGTTCTCAGAGCTCTGATGTTGTGGTGAAAGAGAAAAGTGTCTCTGTTGTTCTGCTTGCTGGGGGAAAAGGGAAAAGAATGGGCGTAAGTCTTTCTTCTCTATCTCATTTTCGGATGTGAATGGGATTATACTTGCGCTTGAGTTATACTGAAATGTTTTTACCTGTTCCACCTCAATCAATTTAGATGAGTCCAATTACTTAGTTTCATTTTTCCGAGGATATCAGAATGGTTTATTCTATCTAGTTAGTTTTAGTTTTATTACTGGATTGCATTCAGTTTAGATTATAGAATTGGTCAGATGGTTATGAAAATGTCCCTAGCATGCTTAATGTTCTTGGTTATTGCTCAGACAACTCTGTTGCTGACTGTCATAAACCCCCATGATTTGCTACTAATAAATGGAAGTAGTTGGAAGAATGTTTATGCTTTTAAGTCTGATATTTTGTTGAGCTTCTGAGATGGACTGAAGGATATAGCCATATCTTGATCGAGCTTTTACCATTTTATGTTATGGTCATCGTGTTGGTTCTTTCTTTGACATTTGTTATTTAGATTTCCAGATTAAGAGATGGTTAGGAAAGAGGTATAGCTTCGAGTGTTTTTAAGAATCCATTGTGATTTAGTAGTTCTTTTGTAATCTACACTTCTTGTTTTCATCTTCCAAATGATAGATTTTCAATCCTTTTGCAAATAGGCAAGCATGCCAAAGCAGTATCTACCTCTTCTGGGTCAGCCCATTGCATTGTATAGGTAAACAACCTTTACCCTCACTCATATGGAAGCTAACTAACTTGCACAAATATGATTGATCTATTCCCATTGTACTGAATACGTGTCTGCAATTCTCAAAGTTTGTTTAATTAATTAGATTGCATGAATATCCTGGAATACAGAATTTCATTTCATCTTTCATTTGCCATCATTTTGTTATGTATGTTGCCTGGTCAAGATCTTAACATTTCATTTCAAGAGTTCTCATAACAAACTTTAGTCAGTCCAGCATCATAATTTTCTGGTTCAGACAACCCTTGCGAGGTTCTGTCCAAACTGGAGCTAGTCCACTTCAAGAATTGCTCTAATCTAACCATTAAAAGCTACATTTTATCAGATGAAATCTGTGATCAATGCCTTAATATTCTTACGAAGTTGGAATGTTCAAAGTTTTTGTGGTTTTATGCTCTTATCTTAATGTCAACCTCTGGAATGATGATTGACTGGTTTGAATTTTAGCTTCTTTACATTCTGCCGTATGCCTGAAGTAAAGGAAGTGGTTGTTGTGTGTGATCCTTCTTATCAAGACATCTTTGAAGGTAGGGAGACTTCAATTTATGTATCAAGGTAAATTTTTGCCCAACATTTGAGGTAACTATATGGAGTTCGTGACCTTACCTCAGATGCAAAAGAGAATATTAACGTGGATCTGAAATTCGCATTGCCTGGAAAGGAGAGACAAGATTCTGTCTTTAGTGGACTACAGGTTCGAAAACTGACACCTGCAATTGTGGAAATATGTTTTTCTTTATTGAAGAGAGCTTGAGTACACTTTATATGTTCAGCCATGGTACTCAGGATCATAAAAGATCATTTCTTTTCATCAAAGGTCTATACCTAAAAAGATGATCATGTCTCACTGTATCTAAGTGTTGTCTTTTTTCTATATTGGACACCTATATTAAACTTCCTTTGCATATGTTGTATAATATCAATTTTTTACAGGTTTTCTTATTCACTCAGTCATTCTTGTTTAGGCAATTGATTTAAGCTCAGAACTTGTTTGCATCCATGATTCTGCAAGACCTTTGGTACTGGTTGAAGACATTGGAAAGGTAAGGTTGTGAGCTGAGGTTTTCTTTATTACTTTGAACCTTAATTATTTGGTCCACATATATATCGTCTTCATAATGCAACTTGAGCCCAAAATAAGTCCTGGTAGTTGTCTTGCATGATGCTCTAGCATTAACCAATTTTCATAAGAATAAAATTCAGCTCTTTAACTTAAGCGCTGAAAACCCACAGTCCGGCTAATGGGTCCACTGAATATAATTATTATAGTGATGTTTTTAGCTTTTACCTAATTAACCTGAACCATGTATAATCTTAGCAAGCCATGGTTGGAGAAATGTTTACAAACAACTGGATGTATCATAGAATGTAAAAGCTTCAGTGAACATAGGCATCATCTTATCATTACTTTTGGAGATATTTTCTTTTCATCATCATCTTTGTTTACTTTTAGTATCTCGAGAATCTGAATTTCATTTTACTCAGTGAATATTAACTATGTTTTTAACTGAGTCATGCAGGTTCTAAAGGATGCTTTGACAGTCGGAGCAGCTGTACTTGGTGTACCCTCTAAGGCTACAATCAAGGAGGTAAGCATCATATGGCTTTCACTTCATCTTAACCAAAATCTGTGTCTAGTGAGGAGTTGATAAGGGTTTCTGGTTCGTATCATGTGCTGCTAAACAGTTCTTTCCTTTGTGTAGCTGAAGCAAATCTGGAATTTAGGAACTTCTTTGAGCCCATTAGCCCGAATATGATGTTTTGTGCCTTATAAACAGCAGGAATTGCTGCTTTACTTGAAAAGATGTGAATAAACCCTTGGTTCAGACTCGAATTGTGCCATTAATAAAATCCTTTTTTATAGCAATTCATACTGATTTTTATGAACTAAATCATGGTTTCTCTGACTTGTTTCTGAGATTCTATTCCAACACCACGAGTGGTGCCTCTGACTATGTAGAAATCATTTATTAGTCCTTGTTTCGTGTAAGTTGGCAGCATTTTTCGTCATACTGATGTTCTCAACTATCGTTGTGCAGGCAGACAGCAACTCTTTTGTTGTTAAGACCCTTGACAGGAAAACCCTTTGGGAAATGCAAACTCCGCAGGTTTGCATTTGCATTTTTAGTTTAATTTGTAACTATCTGTAATCATGTGACAAGCCACTAGGTTTTATGTATGAGCATTTTTTGTCATGTTCATATATCATGGTATTGAAATTGACAAAAATTCTCCTATTCACCTTCTCACTAATTGAAAATTCCAATCATAAATATAGAGAAAATTTACTCAACTGTCAGCATTGCTGAATGAGTGTCTTTCACATCCATTGGCCACAGATAAATCCTAGTAAATTTTTGCAGGTTATCAAGCCTGAGCTGCTTAAAAAGGGTTTTGAGCTTGTCCACAGGTAATTTAATGCTTCATAGCTTGACTCTTCTCAGTTTTCTGATTGTATACAATTTATAATTCCCGTGCTAGGATCTTTTTCCTGCACTTGCTTTAGTGCTACAAAATTCAGAATGAAATGCATGAATTCCTGTAAGATGATACCATTAGCAGTTACCCTGTCGAGTTTCTCATGTGAATTGTATTTTCCATAAGATAAGTTCTTATATGTATATCCACGAGTTTTGGCTTCTGGCATGCATGATCAGGATGTTTATGCATCCAATTTACAGAGTAGAAGCTTGGTTGTTTTACCCACAAATTTATATGTAACGTCAAATCTGTGGGTTTGAAATCTTTAATCAGAATAATCACAGAACCCTATTTTGTCTTTTATCACATCGAGTTGTCTGGGCTTTATATATGTCTTACAGTATAATGAATCTTGTGGCTGAGTCATAAAACAGTGGACAATGGCCAAGTGTTTGTCTTGAGCCTTGAACTTTAATGCTTTGTGCAATACTCTTCAGGGAAGGACTAGAGGTAACAGATGATGTATCTATTGTAGAGTATCTCAAGCATCCTGTTTACATCACCGAAGGTTCATATACAAATATAAAGGTAATGCTCTTTTGTGGACTGACGTCATTTCTTGTTATCGGCATATTCTTTTTTCTTTTTTTTTCCTGGGGCTATTGTGCTTATGTATCCGTCTCTCAAATCTTTCTATGGCGATGCAGGTGACGACACCTGACGATTTATTACTCGCAGAAAGAATACTGAACACTACCTCTTGATCAGCCCAGTGTCCTATACTACTATACTCCTTGGCCTTGCAACTCTTTTTTCCTGGCCGTAGACTTGGCTAGAGGACCAAGAAAAGTGTCTGTCGCATTCTATATATTGCTCTTCTTTCCTGGTAGTGTAGGGTAACGCCGGAACAACTTCTGGTGAAGGTAGATCTTGATGTGGAATAAGGAAATTCTTGTGTCTAAGCTTTCATTTGCAGAGATCAGATGAGGAAAGGGCCAACTGCTGTTGTTCAACTTTATCCATTTTGCCAGTTAAACATGTAGATTTAGAGTGAAAAAGCACCATTCATACCTTACCAATTTATACTTTAAATTGTAATTTTTTACATTCATGATATGAGAATATATCAAATGGATCATTTAACCACTAAATGCCTTTTATATCAAATGGTTTGTCATTTATATTTTAGTTAGTTAATTTCATTTCATTTGATGTAAATTTTAAGCCCAATGGATGAACTACCAATGAATTTTATTAAGCATATCTGACCCCCCAGATGTTGATGATTATTTAAATACCGCTACTGTATATGCACTTGTGTAATCCTAAAATTGTAACCTTTTTTTCCCCCTTCCAGTGAATTTAGGACTAATCCACAATTTGGCTCCTCTAACGTGAGGAATTTTCCATTTGAACAAATCGTATTTAAATACCTTTTAAATATTTGTACCATCTCATTTTGAACAAATCGCATTTACCTTCAAATGTTTGTATGTTTGTACCATCTCAATGCTAGAATGTACCAAAGAAAAAAAGAAAGAAAGTCCTTAACTATGTGAAATGTATTTACCTGCCTGTTTTTGCTTAACCTTTTTTGGGGGCCCCCTCAGAGGTTTGAACCCATTCTCATGGCAATATTCACCCGTAGTACTTATCATTCTATTGACTATTATTGTGATATTTACATTCTTCGAACACATCAAGATTAATTTTATGAAGAAGTCATCAAATAGAATGAACATGAAGCTGATAAGACGATCAAATTAATGCATAGCTGAACTACTAGTCGAAATTAGAACCAAGACATCATCACACTTCTTAACCGGGGAGAAGGGAAGGACAAATATGAAATCAACACTAACAACTAGGCTCCATTTTCAATTCTTGAAATCATTTGTTGCGCCAGCAGCTTATCTATTATAAGTTTGAGTGCAGGGGCGCTCACTTGACATTTGTTATCATCAGCAAAGCACGATCTCCCTTCTTCAGCCGCTCTGCAGAGCTGAGGATCTAGAGGAATCTTCCCAAGAAAAGGAACTCCCATTTCGCGGCACATTCTACCAGCACCTCCAGCGCTGCTATCGAACACTTCACTAAAAGCAAACACATTTAGCAGTTCCGGTGCTTTTTCCTTCATGATCGAAAGGATTGACTCTGTCGCATCTTGTTGTTCACCATTTTCGGCCATTTTCACATATTTGAAATCTGAAAGTGACTGGCAGAGACCACTCATGTTCTCCACAACACCAAGAACATTCAGCCCAACTTTCTTGCAGAAACTTACTTCCTTTCTGACATCTATCAGAGAAACTTCTTGTGGAGTAGTAACTATAATAGCACCATCTATTCCAGTTGCTTGGAGGAATTGGACGATTGAGATGTGCTCATCAGAAGTTCCAGGCGGAGCATCAACAACTAGAAAATCAAGCTCTCCCCAATAAACATCTTTCAAGAACTGTTTAATGAGGCCATTCTTACGTGGGCCTCTCCATATCACAGCGTCATCCGGGTTGGGCAGCATGAACCCAATTGACATGACCCCTAGGTTAGACTCGACATAGACAGGTGACCATCCAAGATTACTCTGGTGAATTTCTTGCCCTTCAAGGGCCAGCATCTTGGGAATGCTAGGTCCACATATATCTATATCAAGCAAACCCACCTGGAAATCCATAGCTGCAAGTGCAAAGGACAGCTGAGCTGAGAATGTACTCTTCCCAACCCCACCCTTGCCAGATAGAACCAATATCTTGTGCTTCACTGTAGCCATTCGCTCCGCAATTGTAACCAAATCTGCCAAGGAAAAAGAAAATCAAATTTGTTAAGCACTTACTCACTACTGAAAAAGAGGGAAAAATGCAACCTTTTGCTGATTTGTACTTTTGCACAAAAGTAGTCCGCTAAATGGATGTGTGTGCTAGATTGAGAATTATGATTTAAGTAATCTCTACACAAGTTTGAGGTAGTTTAGCCAATCAGAACATCAACATAAAGAAGCATCTAACAATGTCTGAGATATCGAATTAAAAGAGGCTTGCAAAAAGAGACAGCTCACTTACGTCAAAATCTAAAGCCAATACAAACAACATAAAATTTTAAGCTAAATCAGGAATGGTCAAAAGTAATACTGTAAGCTAACAACCGCAAAATTGTTCTAGTATCTGGACCATCAAAAGTTGAATAAAAGTAGTTTCTAAGTTGTACTTGGATGCCCATCTTTGATGATATTGTATTTTTCTGATAGGAATACAGATCTCTGCACTAAATCCTACAGTCAAGTTTTGGTCATTCACAATAATAAATTAAACCGGAAAAAAAAAAAAATCACCCTTGAACTGAAACAATCGAAATTAATTTCCTCTATGACCCTAGCAAAATCCCAGGTCACAGTTTAACATTTCCATCCAACAGAATCATAATTAATAGACAAAAGGTCAAAGGCAATTAGCTGAACACTAATTTCAGCTTTTCCATTACTAGCTTTCTCCATCTCCCCCCATCAAACAGAAATATATAACTTCTGATTAACTCAAACCCTAGAGAAACTAATTGGAAGAATCAACATTCCACAAAAGCGAAATAACCACAGCAAATTTAAGAACCACACAACACTTCAGAAGACCAGTTAGACTGTAAGTACTCAAAAAAACTATTTCAAGGAAACAATGTGAAGCAAAAGGAGTACTTACCTGGGTCGGGGCCTTTGGGAGCAGTAGCACAGGCTTCCTGATTAGGGCAACCTTTACATGCATCAGATTTTCCAGCATCCTCTGACTGAGTCCCAGGACAGTCTTTATCAAGAAATCACAGAAATTACGATTAGTCAAATCAACACTAACGAAAGGAGGTGCAATTGAGAGATGCAACAGTACAGATATACACATACGCTCATTGGCGTTTTCGGGGACATTATTGCTTCCATTCTCCATAATTCTGTGCTTTAGTAAATTCCCTCAAGCTTCAGAACTTTAATCTGTTTGATTAGGTAACTCGTTAATGATACAGGGTGGCACCGAAAGTCAAGAATGTGAAAACCACGATTCTGCACAGAAACAAAGTCTAAAGATATGCGCAAAAAGCAGTAAACAAAACTAGCCATGTTTACAACTAAAGTTAGAATCTAGAGCTCATAGCAGAAAGTGTTGATAGTGTACATCAAAGAGCAAGAAAAACACAGTTAGACTAATAATCAAATACTTAGCATGCAACCTACAAAAACATGAACTCTCTAAACCAACATCAGCACCGCAAAGTCCACAACAGTGAAGGATTCGATGAAAACATTTACAAGTCCTTCACCATTTCAACAGATATATCACAACTGTATAAATTACAACAGAGTAACATGATTGCAATTCTTATAACTAAATTTACAGTTGAAATAAAAGAGAAAAAACTTCATCCCAAATCGATTATCAAAATGCCTCAAGTCTTATATATAATTGATTGCTCATGTATACAGTGCCAAAATAGCTCGCAGAAATTAAGAAGCCATATAAAAAAGCTCTCGAGACAAACCATCTAGAAATCCAAAAAGGATTCAATTTTGTTGAGAACTAAACTCACCTGGGACAGTATTTAAGCGGTGAAGAACAGACGGCAGCTCGTTCAAAGTCTTCTCCGGTTCTCCCAATTCGATTGATATGATTATTCTGATGAACGAAATAGATTTCTTTCGTTTATTTCTTTTCTTCGAATTTTCAACTTTACAGATGGCGGTGCCCAACAATCAGTAGTTTTTTCCCCTTTGGCCCCGCCGCGTATTTTGGGTTAATTATAAATACTCTCAATTGTTTGGATTATTTGCCACAACCGATTCCTGTAGTTTTGAAGTAATTACATACTGCTCCTGTGCAAGTGCAACTAAAAACATTTTATAATTTAGGAAATTTGGGTGAGATATTGTGAAGGATGTAGTAATAAATAATAAATTAGTAAAAAAGAGGGTAACCAAATTAAACAAATTTACCCTTTCTTGTTCAGTTATCCTCCAAAACAATGTTCGTTTCGCACTCTAATTACGTAGGATTATACATATTAGTATAAACTCAATAAAGGTTTTAGTTATTTATCTATTTGGTGATCTTTTTTCATACAATTAATCTTGATTATGTAGAATTATGATAAAGTTTTACTTCTTTGTTGCACTTTTACGTTATTTATTAGGTACTAATGTTTCTAGTTATTCGTCAATTTGACCGCTCTTTCTCCAGCAAACTAACATAATTGTGTAAAACTATGGACTGCCCTTGTCCGTGGATGAATTTCATTCATCATTCCTTTATATTGGAGGTTTTTTTTTCTTCTTTATTCCTTTTTTGTTAAGAGGGTACATATTATACTATCTATATATATATATATATATATATATTTTTGTGAGGGGATAGAAATATAATGTGTTTTTGTTAAAAGGGTAACATATTATACTATATTTTTTTGTGAGGTTTAAAAATATAATTTTTTTTTGTTAAGAGGATAACATATTATACTATATGTATATTTTTTATTTTATGAGAGGTTAAAAATAAAATGTGTTTTTGTTAAGAGGGTAACATATTATACTATATTTTTTTTTTGTGGGAGGTTAAAAATACAATGTGTTCAAAGAAATATAAAAGTATTATAATAATAGTCAATAGAATGATAAGTACTACGGGTGAAGATAGCCATTAGAATGGATTCAAACCTCTGATGGGGCATTGCCCCTCCCTCCAAAAAGAAAAAGAAAAACAAGCAAGTAAATATATTGCAAGTGAAAAAGTAATTAGGTAAAATACGTTGCACATAATTAATGACTTTTTTTTTTGAAACATTCTAGTATAGAGATGGTACAAATATTTGAAGGTAAATACCTTCAGAAATTAATTTCTAAGAGATACACATCATGATTTTTTTTAAACAAAAATTTAAAAGGAACTATTCAATCTATTATCTATGTACTCCATGCTATTCAAGTTGATTAACACCCCGTGGCTGTGTTCATTGTTTTTGGTTGATTATAGTAAAATGTTTGTAGATGCACAGGAGCAGTATGTAATTACTTCAAAACTACAGGATCGGTTGTGGCAAATAATGCAAACAATTGAGAGTATTTGTAATTAATCCAAAATACGCGGCGCGGCCAAAGGAAAAAAAAACTACTGATTGCGTCACGCCGTGGTGTCCAGTTCCTCTCACATCATAGTATAAAACTAGCGCTCTTTTTTCTCTCTCTTCATAACTCTACTCTCACTGTCGAACAGTGAGTCCCACCCTCCCTCGGTTGCCGCATTGTGCCCGTAGGGTTTAACAAATTCCGGCCAGACAATCTACTCCGATCAATTCGGTTTCCTCTTACTATCTAGTACTCGGCGTTTTCACGGAGAATTAATCTTTTCCAGGTGAGATTATCTCCGGCACTTTATATTGCTTTATTGTCTTTTTTTTTTTTTTTCCCCGGCTTACGTACGCTGTAGAAACACGAACAGATGCCGTGTATGGTCAAGTTTTCGTTGTCGATACAGTTATCTTTGCGGTTTATCTATTGTCCTAGGGTTGTAGGTTTATGTAATTGGATTTTTTTTTTCTCCTTTTAGAAATTGTTATTTGCTCTTTAGTAGTTCCGAATTTGGGGGATTTTTTGGGTAAATTAATGCTTTCCAGAGTTATCAACGCATGTGTATTCGTGTTTTTGTTCTTGAGATGTGAATGCGGTTACTCTGTTGGACTCTGATACCAGCTCTGTTTCTTTTTTGTCACTGTTTCTTTGGTCATTAAACTGTTTCTTTGGTGGATTTTCTTTTGTGGATTTTCTTTTTTTGATTGTTTGGTGGGATAAACGTGTTAACTTGGTTCTGGATGAAGAGTGAGCTTTTCATTGATTTAAATACCTCTGTGGTAACCTTAAGAGGATATCGAGACTGTGTGATACTGTGTAAGTCTAAGGTTTGGCTTTCTCTAAGAGAAGTTTTAATGTCTTTGAGTTTCCTTACTTAGCTTAATGTTATTACTTCCTGTACAGTTGCAGTAGTAGACTTGACCTGTGGCCTGGCCACGGATTCTATTTTTGTATGTTCATATTTTTGGTGCATCTAAATCCATCTGCTAGAAGCAGTAATCCACATCTGGGGTAAATATTTTTAGAACAATAATTAGTAGTTTCACATTGTGGCCCTAAATTTAAGTTTCTAAATTCCCATATAATTCCTGTTAACAATATTAGTTTCTCATATGATGAACACCATTTCACCATGAGAAGTATTAAAGTAATTTTTGCACAAATGTCAATTTTATGTCTTTATTTATGCCTTAGTTTTCTGCAAAAGTGGGTAAGAGATTGAGGATTAGTCATCATGTGGACTGAGGATTAGTCGAGCTAAACTACTATATATTTATCTCCCTCAAAATTTTGATCGCAAATATAATTCCCCTCTCCTATTATTTATGCTAAGAAGAGTAAAATAAGAGAAAATTTGAGAAGAAATGCCCAGGAATGTATTTTAAATGTAAAAGCACATATAAAGAAGAACATGTTGATTTTGCTCATATCACATTTACTAAATGACGGAGGGAGTACCATTACTGGATATAAGAAAGAATGTTCACTACTCGTAAATCTAGATTCCTGGCAGATATAGTAACTAACGAAATCATAGGGTCAATTATCTGCCTGTTGTAGAAGTGAGGAAAGTCAATCAACATTCAATGCCTGTTGCTTTTGCACTGTGCGCACACTTTATTCATACGGCCTAATCTATAATTATTAGTTTTATTTTTGAATGTCGAAGTGTGCCAGTTTATAATCTGTGACTTGTTACTTGTTTGTTCAGAGTACAAACTTGAGGCGCTTCTTTCTGCTGGTGAATCTTTTATTGCAGCCAACAGGTTGGGTTTTTAAAGATGGCGAACCTTGCAATTACTGGTATACTTGAAAAGGTACTAACTGATGTCCTTGACACACGTCTGATCTAGGTTTTTAGTACTTGGTGTCCTCTGATTTACTGGCCAATTTGTCCTCAAGGATAACACTTCTGTATTTTATGGTTACAGATGACAGGAAAGGATAAGGATTACAGATATATGGCGACATCTGATTTGCTCAATGAGTTAAACAAGGAGAGTTTCAAAGTTGACAGTGATCTGGAGTCCAAGTTGGCTAATACAGTTCTCCAACAGCTTGATGATATGGCTGGTGATGTTTCTGGTTTAGCTGTTAAATGGTATGTACTGATACAAGTGCTTTTTGAAGATTTCCACTTCTCTGGCAGTAGCCTTTACTCTTTATGGGAAAGGTGGTTTAAGTGATCCGTTAGATATCATAAAATTTCTCTCGCTTTGTCTGGTGGATTTACGTATTTTTTCGTTCTTTGCGTTGGAGTGGTTTATAAATAGGCATGTGTGCACCTTTTGACCTTATTGAAGTTTTTCTTCTGTCAATTTGAGAAAGATCTTCCCTGATGATACAGAAAGTGATATGGCAATTTTCCCAGTGAAGCTCATTAAATATGTGTAATTACTGCAAGCTTTGATAGATAGGGTTATCTGTTATATGGACATTTCTCCATTATATTCAATCTGAGGGAACATTACTTTTGTGGGTGGGTTTTAAATGATCGAGAGACAAGGAGTGCTACTTGTGTTTTGCTTCTTTTGAGATGCTTAGGACTTTTATGCTTTGCATCATTGTGAAGGCTACTTGGTTGCCATATTCTGATCGTTCTTCATTAATTACTGAAATTCCAGCGTGGTTCCCTTGGTGAAGAGAATCAACGAACAAGTAGTATTGGACATGGCCAGTAAGCTTTGTGATAAGCTACTCAACGTGAAAGACCAACATCATGATATTGCTAGCATAGCTTTGAAGACAGTTGTTTCTGAAGTTCCATCACTCTCTTCTACACAAGCTGTTCTTGTGACCATTACTCCTAAGTTGATTAAAGGAATCACTGGTCCTGTAAGTTACCAAAAGGAACTGTTTTATGTCACATCTTTGGTAAAGTTATGTTTTGAAATATTTCTAGGTTGGAATACATGATGCACATTATCCTGGTTGTCACTGTTACTCAATTGTTTCACGTAGGGTATAAAAGTTTGCTACTAAATCTTGCCAACTCTTGAATATTTAGAGATCAAATCATTTTTGACCACTTATACATCTAGACCCAGAATGCTTTGAATTAGCTTTATGAAAGTTTCTAAACACTTCCAGTTTCATAATAGAGTCTGTCTGCACTTTGCTTTCTACTGTTGGTGTTAATTTTAAGTTTATCTTTCTGGGAATCTGGGGCTGCGACTGGGAGAATGTTTTTGGACATCTACTTTGCTGGGAGAAAAATGATTGGGAGATCAAGGCAGCTCTTTGTTCCTAGCCTTAAGTGGCTTCTCACCCGAGTTACCTTTCATGCTTGTTCCTTTCCCATTTTAAGAAATTTTTGTTTTTAGAAATTGTTTTGCAGTAATTTTTTTTACTTATTGCAATGCTAATTCTTGCTAATCATTATTGCCTGGTTCTTCATGATTTTGACATTGAAATCTGCTTTCCCAGGCAATGAGCACAGAGATAAAATGTGAATGTCTTGACATTTTATGTGATGTTCTTCACAAATATGGGAATTTGATGGCCTCTGATCATGAGCCTTTGTTAGCTGCATTACTTCCTTTGTTAAGTTCCAATCCAGCTACAGTTAGGAAGAAGGCTGTCTCATGCATTGGTAAGAAAAATAACTTATTGCTTCAGAACTTTTGATCTCTTTGAAATGCTTTGCATGATGGGTTGTAAAGCCTCTTATTTTCTGATGGTTCTTCCTCTGAAAACCTGTCTCTTTCATTTTCCCCAGCATCATTAGCTTCAAGTTTGTCAGATGATTTGCTAGCAAAGGCTACTGGTGCTGTTGTCACTCTTTTAAAAAATAAGTCTTCAAAACCTGAGATGACACGGACTAACATCCAGATGATTGGAGCCTTGAGGTTTGTTCTCATACTTGATGCTCTGCTCATATACTCCGAATTTGTGAAGTGTTTGATTTGTTGGACAATTGATCTTATGATGTAACCAACGACTTTGTTCTTTCTTATCAGTTCAAAACTTTCTCGGAAAGTGAAGTCTACAGTTTTTGTACATCTCTTTAAATTTGGGAAGACTTGATACAATTTGTAGATGCACATTAGTATTACACGTTTTCTTTCTCTGCTTTGTCAGTATCTAGAGCCATCGTTTTCTCTGTTTTGTAATTATGTAGAGCCATCTTTTTCTCCGCTCTGCTCATATACTGAGAGTTTTTAAGGTGTTTGATCCACGTTATTTGACCTTATGGTGTAACCTTGCCATTGTTTCTTTATTACCTTGTAACGATCGCTCTAAGAAAAGTTAACTCTACAGGTTTTGCACCTCTGTAGCAAAGCAAACATTTGTTTAAATCCGTGAAGGCTTGATACTTATTTTAGTTGGAAACTAGTATCTCCCTGTTTTCATGTGAACTGCTGTCATTTCAGTACAATGATTAAAACCAAAATTCTTTTACTCAATGTGGAGTCGTACTTAGTGATTGAACAAATGATAGATTGCCACAGCTTAGTTATTGATTTTGATTGACCTTGCTGAGTTGCGTAACAATTTGTTTTATTTTATGTTATCTTTTTATATCTGTTGTCTTTTTTGATATGCTTAAAACTCAACCAACGGGGACAAAGTCTGACGGATTATTATCTTCAGTCGAGCTGTTGGCTATCGTTTCGGTTCCTACCTTGGAGATACTGTTCCACTTTTAATCAAGTATTGTACAAGTGCATCAGAGAATGATGAGGAGCTTCGTGAATATAGCTTGCAGGTACTGTCTTTTGTGATTAGCTGTTGTTTTCATGCCCTAGGATATTATTACTGTTGTTTTTCGACCTTTACTAGTTTTTTGAAGTCTCATAAATGATTTTTCTGAATTAGGCACTGGAGAGCTTTTTGCTGAGATGCCCCAGAGATATTTCTTCTTACTGTGACGAAATTCTCCAACTTACATTGGAATTTCTTAGCTATGATCCTAATTTTACCGACAACATGGAGGAAGATACTGACAATGAAGGCTATGAGGAGGAAGAGGATGAGTATGTTATCAGTTACACATCTTTACTGGTCCTTATTTAAACTTTGCAGAATTAGGGTTCCAGCTGATTTGTTTCTCTTTTTGTTACTTCAGTGAGAGTGCCAATGAGTACACAGATGATGAAGATGCAAGCTGGAAAGTTCGAAGGGCTGCAGCGAAATGCTTGTCAGCATTAATTGTTTCTCGTCCTGAGCTGCTTGGGAGGTTATACGAAGAGGTACATACTTCCGATTCCTGAATCTTGATGCCTAAGCACTTTTCTGCTTTGAAAATGGTGTGCTGTTTTGGATGGAATGTCTCTTCCCATTTGTCTCTTTTTTTTGGGGAGGGGGGTGTGGGGGGAATCTGTAATGGCTGAATGTGTTGTAGCAGACTTATAGATTAAGAACAAATGCCATGCATCACATTATCAAAAGCTGAGAAGCTTATACGCAAGTTATGGAGTCATATACTGTACTATGATGTCTTAGAGCCCTGGGGCTTTTTGATGCTAGTACTTGATAATAGATGTGTATAGCTATTGATCCAATACCTTTCCTGGAAGGGTTAATAAGTTGAATGTTGATGGTTTTTTCATGGAAGTGTTTCTTTTTGTATAGCTATTAATAGGATTGTTTTCTCTATTCTTTTCTTGTTCAGGCTTGTCCAAAATTGATTGAAAGATTCAAAGAAAGGGAAGAGAATGTAAAGGTAAAGCCTAGTGATAGTTTGAGATTACATATTTTACTGTTTACTTGTGAATTATCTGATTACCATTGCTGCAGATGGATGTTTTCAATACTTTTATTGAGTTGCTGCGACAGACTGGAAATGTTACCATAGGGCAAATGGAATTTGATGAATCAAGGCAAGTTTATCTGATTTTCTTGCCTTTTTCTCCCTTGATAGATTTCAAGTCTCTCATTTTAGTACGTGTATCATCTAAGAAATGACTTTCATTTGATTGTGGTGTAAATCATGTAGTTTAGATCAGCATATGTGTCACGGATCACCATGTTGTTTGAACATTTTTTGTTGGGTATTAAATATGAAATTCTCTGGACCACTTCGCACACACAGTTGGCCCACGGAGCATAATCTTCCAGCCCCGATTGCGCTTTCCATGTCCTGAATTTCTAAATGCAGACTAATTGTTTATCAAGGTTAAAAGGATATTATGGTGATAAATTTTGTTCCTCCAGTTTTTTCTTTTTTTTTTTTTGGGGGGTTGGGTGTGGTAAACTCCTCCAGTTTGTATTTTATTCGTCTATCTGCAAATAGGTTTGTTTTGATTTAGAAAATTGAAAATTATAATTCTACAGAAGTTGTGACTACAATGTATTGCCTTGCATGTAATCTTTCGCAGTTGACAGATATCCTAGAGGATTGCGATCTTTCCTACTTTTCAGTTAGATGTGACCATATTTATCCAATGCTGATGTTGATTTCTGTTAAATGTTGTGTAGTCCTAGATGGTTACTGAAGCAAGAAGTACCTAAAATTGTTCGATCCATCAATAGGCAGTTGCGTGAGAAGTCTGTTAAAACAAAGGTGGGCTTTATTCACTGTTGAAGTTACTTAACAGCGGTCTAATGTCCAAGTTCTGTTTATCAGTAGCTTAATCTGTCATCAATTAAACCAAAAGAACTTTTTTTGTGTCATTTTCATAATATTTGGTGGGTTTTTTTCCTCCAGGTTGGTGCATTCTTAGTCCTGAAAGAACTTGTGGTGGTGCTGCCTGATTGCCTGGCCGACCACATTGGTTCACTTATTCCTGGAATTGAGAAAGCATTACTTGTAAGTAATCTTTATTCCTGTGTGAACTTGCCCGTGATTTCTGGATGGATCTGTGAGATGATAATTACTCTTTTGCCTTTTGACTTCTTTACAAATCAGGATAAGTCTTCTACCTCAAACTTGAAGATTGAGGCTCTTACTTTCACACGATTGGTTTTGGCTTCACATGCACCTTCTGTTTTCCATCCTTACATCAAGGTATCTTCCATGCATCTGATTCGTCCTAAAGAACTTCTCAATATGTTTTAATCATTTGTGAAACACTTAAGCGATATCTATGCATCTAAAACATCTTTTATTATGTAGTATCTAATAATTTCTTAAGGTTGTACAGAATTTTGGATTGGATGTCCTACAGCTTCAAGAAATGGTTTAACTATTTTGAGAGTGAATAATTTCTGTTCTTGGAATTGTCTCTAGAATGGGATTCTTAGCAGATGTTTTTTTAAAAAAGAAAATTTTGTATTACAGTTCCCTTTTCTTGGGGCTTAGAATTTCCATGTACTTTAGGCTTTTAATTGACTCAGATTTGCATAAGCTTCCACAGTTTCAGTGGTACATACATCCCTTGTCCTTGCAGTTCTCCATCATTAAATATGTTGTCTATAATGTTACAACTCTGATTGTGGCATTGTTGTTCTTTAGGCCATATCAGCTCCTGTTATATCTGCTGTTGGTGAGCGTTACTATAAAGTTACTGCTGAAGCACTAAGGGTATGTGGAGAACTTGTGCGCGTCGTCAGACCAACTGTTGAGGTCGGGTTGCTACATACTGGTTCTACTTGTTGAATACTTCTGCTGCTTGTTACTTTCTTTTTGGGTGGATATCCTGAATGGTAACTTGATTTTCTATACAGGGTTCTGGTTTTGATTTCAAACCCTATGTTCATCCAATATACAATGCTATCATGGCACGTTTGACAAATCAAGATCAAGATCAGGTAGAAATATTGCTGATTTTTAATTTTCTTTCTCCATTTTTTGAACAATATTATAATATTTTGTATTTTTTATTTTCAGGAAGTCAAGGAGTGTGCTATTACTTGTATGGGGCTTGTTGTGTCAACATTTGGTGATCACCTCAAGGTCGAATTACCCGCATGCCTTCCTGTGCTTGTGGATCGAATGGGGAATGAGATAACTAGGCTTACTGCTGTGAAGGTTGGTTTGGATTTCATGTTTGATTTGGAAGAAGTTTTCCGGGAATAATGTTTCTAATGCGTCATATATGAATATTTCCCCTGTGGAAAAGCCGGCTCGTAGTTGCTGTTCTTGGGTCTTATGTTATGTTGCCTTTCGCTTATCTCAATGCTTTTGATGGTTGGCTCTAAGTGATGATGAATTTGTATCATTTTGCTGGCTCACCACTTTAGTCTGGATGATTGTGTGATAGCAAGTCACCAAGCCTGTCTCTGTTTCTGGCGGTTCCACCCTTATTATTAGAGTAGACTACTATCTACATTCTCACCATCCTGTAAGATTGCCATGTCTGTAGGGCATGGTTTCAGTGGAGTGTTTGATCTTTTAAAGCTCTATGATATAAAGTGTGTAAATTAGTTGTCTTAGTAAATTATATACACCTGTCTTCCCTGCTTCAGAAAATTGGTTGAGAGAATTGACATTTATTTAGATTTTAAGATTCTTGCTGTTGAGAGAAGTGTGTCTTTGTGAATAAGTTGTTTTGATGTTAGTTTGTATTACTACTGCCCTCCTAGATTAGTGTTTATGAATGTATTTGTGAACTCTTTGTATTTTCTCTCCAGGCATTTGCTGTAATTGCTGCATCTCCACTGCACTTGGACTTATCATGTGTTCTAGAGCATGTGATCACAGAGTTAACTGCGTTCTTGAGGAAGGTATCAATTGCTTTGTTTAATGGAGTTTTTAACCTTTTGCTTTTATCAAATGATCACTGGTTTAACAAGTTAATATTCATTTTTGGGCATAGGCTAATCGGGCACTGAGACAGGCTACTCTTGGAACTTTGAATACCCTGATTGTTGGTTATGGTGATAGGATTGGTTCTGCTGCTTATGAAGTCATTGTTGTGGAACTCTCTACCTTGATAAGGTTTCTCTTGCTTTCAGTATGGCTGGATGCTATGTTTTTTACTTTATTAAATGTAAGCTGAGGTATGTGGTGCTTTTGACCAGTGACTCGGACTTGCATATGGCTGCACTTGCCCTGGAACTATGTTGCACTTTGATGTCTGATAAGAGGTCAAGCCCTAATGTGGGTTCCACTGTCAGAAACAAGGTTCTTCCCCAGGCTCTAACTTTGGTGAGGAGCTCATTGCTTCAGGGGCAGGCACTTCAGGTATGTTGCTGGTTTTTTTATTTTTTAAGATGGTTCAGGATAGTGGTCTGCTTTTATTGACTTTCTTCTGCTGTTCTTGCAGGCTTTGCAAAACTTTTTTGCTGCCATGATTTATTCTTCAAACACAAGCTTTGATGTGCTGCTAGATTCTCTCATTTCAACAGCTAAAACATCTTCACAGGCTGGAGGAGTTGCTAAACAGGCTTTATTTTCCGTGGCTCAATGTGTAGCCGTTCTTTGCCTTGCTGCAGGAGACCAGAAATGTTCTTCTACTGTTAAGATGCTTACGAAAATCTTGAAAGACGATAGCAGCTCGAATTCGGTAAGTATCTGATTTTCTGAAGTTGGGAAGTTTTCCTTTTCATTCTTCCATTAGTTAAAAAAACTAGCATATGTACTCTTTCAGTCGTGCAAAGATTGGTCTCCTGGCCAAAAAGATCTTTTAGTTAGCCTTCTTATATCCCTGTAATTTAGGTTTATTTCTAAAATTGTTCTTTTTCAACTTTTCTGATTTTAATGATTATTAAGTCCTTCAAAGAGGATATCTTGAGTCCGCGAAGTATCATTTGATATAAAGTAAAAAGAAAGCTATTAATTTCTATCCTAGAAGATTCTGGAAATCGTTTTAGGCCGCAGGGGCTGAAGCCATTGTCTCTCACTTTTTTTTTTCCTCGGCCATTCATATCTCTTTGTGGAATGGTACAGTTGGAGCAAAGTTAATCATGTTGTTTAGGTTATTCATTGCGATGATGTCAACTAGTAAAGATATTGGCGGACATGTTTGCCATAAACTGGAAGATAATGTTCTTTCCTTTTTTTTTAGGAAAAAAATTTGCTTAAAACAAAGTAAGTGTATAGTATGGGATGTTTGACAGGGTTTATACTCTTGTCTATCTGTTCTTTTTCTTTTTCCCTTTTTTTTGTTTTGTAAGTTTGTGAGTGAATGGGTCTAGGCTTCGTTGAATTATTCAATTTGATTTTATGAACTTGCAGATGAAATTGTATGGTGCTTTCAGTTCCTCAGAATGGATATTTAATTGATAACTTACTCTGAGCTGTTTCAAAATCTTTGTAGGCCAAAAAACATCTTGCCTTACTTTGTTTGGGAGAGATTGGGAGGAGAAAAGATCTAAGCTCGCATGCCCAAATAGAGAATATTATTATCGAATCGTTCCAAGATTCTTTTGAAGAAATAAAATCAGCTGCATCTTATGCTCTTGGGAACATTGCTGTTGGTAATTTGTCAAAATATTTGCCGTTCATCTTGGATAAAATTGATAATCAGCAGAAGAAGCAGTATTTATTGTTACATTCCTTGAAGGAGGTATGCGGCATAGATCTAGAAGATTCAATTGGATTGCTTGTCCTGGCACTTGATTAACTTATGCGTGTATCATTTGTGTAGGTTATTGTGAGACAATCAGTGGATAAAGCTGAATTTCAGGAATCAAGTGTTCAGAAGATACTTAATTTGCTCTTTAACCATACTGAAAGTGAGGAAGAGGGTGTCCGCAATGTTGTGGCTGAGTGCCTAGGCAAAATTGCGCTTATTGAACCCCAAAAACTTGTTCCAGCACTTAAGGTATTGTTTCGTTTTGAAATCACGTATCCATTTTTCCATCATGGTTCTGTATGCAGTTTGTGATTGGAAAGTTCATGTCTCTCTCTTCTGCAGGACCGAACAACTTGTTCAGCGGCATTTACCCGAGCTACTGCTGTGATTGCCATTAAATATGCTATAGTTGAGCGACCAGAGAAAATAGATGGGATTCTACACTCTCAAATTTCATCATTCCTAATGCTTATCAAGGATCAGGATCGGGTAATTATGAGCTTAATACTCTAATTTATACTTAATTTTCTCATATACCTTGGAATTGTATATGAACTATGAGCTTCGGCTGTTAAATATTCACTTAGGTTTGCATGGTTTGGCGATCAATATTTCCTTGCTGTTAGTTTATTTGGCCTACTTTTGTGTATTAGAGACACCTTTATTACTCTGCAGTCATTTTGATTAATACCCGAAAGCAGCAAATATGATATCCTTTCTTAGTGTTTAATATGGAGTCCACCTATGAAACCCATCTTTTTTCTATTGCATTTTATTTCAACTTGCTGACAATATACTTCATTCTTTTGATGTTCTGCTTTTATCGACTGCTCATTTTAGCGTCAGCTTCTTCTAAATCACTCTGCTGAGGCAACATCTGAGATATAGAAAGTCCATGTCTTTTGTTATATCTCAAAAACTGTGGATGTGAACGTGAAACAGAATTGAAAACTCACCTGCTATACCACATCCTGGGAACAGTTTCAGTTTTTTTTTTTTTTTTCCTTTTTTTGGCACCTGTAGTGGTAGTTTGAATCACTGACGTGAAGATTGAATTTATTTGTGTGCTAAGTTACTGCAGTTTCGAAGTTGTTTTTACGTATATTTTTAATTTCTTTAAATTTTTTCCTGCAATTTTCTGCAGCATGTTCGTCGGGCAGCTGTTTTGGCGTTAAGTACAGCAGCTCATAATAAGCCAAACTTGATAAAGGGTCTCCTGCCTGAACTTTTACCTCTACTTTATGATCAGACAATAATCAAGGTAACCATATTTTTTCTGCCTGTGTAGCTCCCATTCCATTGTTTTTTGGAGGTGTATTATATGATATTGTTTGCTCGTAATTGTGTTTACTGCATGCTGATAGTTTCAGGGAGTTAGTACATTGTGATCGTGATTAGCAGTTTCACTTGAATCTGTGCACATCAATTGACAAATAAATTTTCGCATTAGGTGATTATTCAGTTTCACACGTGCTCATCAATTGTACGAGAAAACCTAAATTTGAAATTACAACACTTATACTGTATCCTGGAAGCATAATGAAGCTTAATGGTCCTACTCTTGTGGCTTTCATTATTAAATCTAATCTTTAAGGAGGCTCTACTCGAGGTTCTTCTGTGTGGTTTTTGGTTGAAGGTTCCATTGTTGTCAGTCATTCCTTTAAACAGGAAGAAAGATGATTAACTCCCAATTCCTATTCGCAGGAAGAAAGATGATTGTAGTTAGTCCTAATACTTGTAATGCATTTCTTAGGAAACGTCATTTTTGGCCCATACACATACGAAACACTTAGTTCTACTGGAACCCATGGGAGATTTTCTCCTATGGTAGAGTGCTTGTAGCTTATTCTGTATTTTTTAGGCTGGTTTTTACCTGTTTTGTTCATTACACGCAGTTTACATCTGAAGTAGTATTCTTGTTTAACAAAATCTATTTTGGTTGCCTCTTTGTTTTTTGTTTGCAGCAAGAATTAATTAGAACAGTTGACTTGGGTCCTTTCAAGCACACAGTAGATGATGGGCTTGAGTTGAGGAAAGCAGCTTTTGAGTGTGTGGACACTTTATTAGACAGTTGTCTAGATCAAGTTAATCCATCATCTTTTATTGTTCCTTACCTCAAATCTGGTCTAGATGGTGAGTTCCAACTTTAAATTAGCTTTCCCTTCCCTCCCTCTATCTCTGTCTCTATCTCTCCATGGATGAGGTCTAAGGATGTTCTTTTTTCTATATTTTAGGATTGTGGTTACATTTATGCATAAATACTAACAGATTTTGATATTTTTGTGGCCTTGCAGATCACTATGATGTTAAAATGCCATGTCATCTTATCCTCTCAAAGCTTGCTGATAAGTGCCCCTCTGCCGTATTAGCAGGTAATTGGCCATCTGTGATCTATGCCGAAACTTTAATTCAGAGTTCATCCCATTTATTCTTAATTCTTAACTGGTTTATGTGGCTTTCAGTTTTGGATTCATTGGTAGATCCTCTGCAAAAGACTGTTAGTTTCAGGCCAAAACAGGATGCGGTCAAGCAAGAAGTTGATCGAAATGAAGACATGATTAGGAGCGCCCTTCGTGCAATTGCATCATTGAATCGCATTAGGTATACTCTCTAGACCTGCCTTCAATTAGGAAAATCACTTCATTAGCTAAACTGACCAAAGCTGAAAAACTATTTCAAGCAGCTCTATCAAATCCTCCACTGTTATTAGAACCTGCCAACTGAAAGATGTACTGTATAATTCTTTTTAGTTTTTTGATCAACTTGTTTGCGAAAATGCGAGACTGATAATAATCAGGATTTATTCTCAAGACAATATCAAATTGGAAAAAAAATATTCTTGTATGTATCCTGCCCCAGAATGATTGTCCAGTTTGGACCTTCATTTTTAGTATAAATTGAACCAAACATGAGAATTCAAACAGTACAATGATTATGGGACAGAGGAGTACTTTTGATGCACACATGCTATTTTTAAGGTTAGCAAGTTTTTGTAGGTTTCTGCATTATCTGCTACTGATCAGGTGTTTGTTGGTTGTTTTCAGTGGAGGTGACTGTAGCCACAAATTCAAGAACCTCATGACCGAAATTTCAAAATCTCAACCGCTTTGGGATAAGTATTGTTCGATTAGAAATGAGTGAGAGATGATAATAGCGATGTTTTAGGCTTGGATGAATTTTGAGGAAGATGGTGTTTTTTTTTTTAATTTCCCCTGCAGAACGTCTTGCAGATCAAATTTGGTTGAGATGCTTAGTGGTACTGGGGGGTACTGACCACTACCAAAGTTTCACATGGTTGTAATGAGCTTCCGGGGGAATGGAATTGCAAAATTGATGCTTTCTGTAGGAAAGGCCATAAGGTTGACTTTTGTATAGTGACACCCACAATATTAATGGATGTTTACTCCTTACATTGTTTTATCATGTGGTTTTGCCTTTTGTGTGCTGGTTCTGTTCATTAGTCTTGATGTCGCCTCATGACAGCCATTTGAAATCCAATAATTTGCGTTAGTTCCATCTTAACTTAATAATAACTCTTTCCAAATCTCCGTTACAGAAGTGTAAAAAATTTAAAATCTCTTTAACTCTTGTCGTTTTATGCTCTTGCTGAGTCAAACTGGGGTGAATTTGTTATAGAGAGGAGACCTATAGGTGAATTTAATGAGGAACTGGAGAAAAACAGAGTAAGACCATGAGGAGAATATAATCGTGAAAACTTGAAAGAGAATGTCGAGTTTCATCTGAGTTTCAAAATCTGCAAGATGACTTGGGCAAAGATACAAGACACATATGTTAAATCTGCAAGATGCCTGTTGCTGGTGTAACTAAAGATACAAGACACATGTTGGATATCGATTTCACTATTTCACTAAACACCACAATATAATCTACCTTCTTGATGATATTTCAATTTAAAGCATAGTGGGGAAAACAGAAGCTGTTCCAACTCCTCTAGAAATATATTAACTAATCATCAGCAACCTCAGCGTTGGCACCTTTAAGATGCAGGTGCTTCTCCCTCTTTTGAAAATCCGTCAAACCTTTCCCACTTCCAGTTACTCCAACCTTCCCTTGTGGATCATCTGGAGATTTGAATATACTTTCTCGCTTTCGACCAGAGAAGAAACCAGCCTGACAAAAGAGTACCAAGATTAAATATGGCACAGTAAGATGCTATAAAACAAGCTGCCTAGCCCATAAGCTACTTTACGTCTCAAATGAAAAATTGGTTATAACCAATATACAGATTGATGATCACTGAACTTGCTGGCATGCCGCTAGTAACAAATTCAACCATAAATTACTCATATACCTTCTTAGCACGGCCTTTGGTTGTCTGAAATTGCTGCCAATCATTTTGCCTCTTGTTCTGAGTCATTTCAAGTTGCTCCATTCGCATCTTAGACTTGAAAGAGTGTATCTTTTTGCGCTTAGCAGCTTTCTGTAATGTAATGTACAATTAGCTCCAAGGAGGAAAAGACATTCACCTAATGCACAAGCAAATAGTCACATGTGGAATGATAGACGGAACATCAACAACTAAAGAAAATAATATAAAGTTTGAGACCACGGAAGCAGAAATCGGAAGACCTTGAAACATCATCACTGTATAATTAATTAGGTACTAAATGGCCCTTGATTAGTCCACAAAAGCAATGAAGCTAAATCACAAGAGAATAGGGGTTAACTGAAATGCATTAGAAAAAATAAATGCCACATCAAGCATACCACATCTTCGGGATCATCAGGCTCAATGCGAAGTTTTGCAGGTAAAGTTTTTGACTGAAAGTCAGCAACAGCAGCTTGTGCAATTTTCCTTTTAAGAGCTTCTTTAGTAGCCTGAGCAACTTTCTCTGCCTCCAATAACGGATTTACATCCCCTTCGTTAACTGCTCGAACATTATCTGGATCCACCTAGAGTCACCAGCTGTATATGTTACAAGAAAACCAACCAAAGCAGAAAAGGGGGATTTAATCCCCCTAGAGATGATATCTTTCAAATCTCTAATATGAATATTAAGATGTTTGCTGATACAATTGCTGCTCAGCAGTAATTTAAATTTTAAACTAAAGGAAGATTACATCTGAAGCACTTCCATTAAAAATTATGCCTGACAGAAATTTTGCACTATTGAAATGATTGTAATTAAAATCGTTTCGCTAAGTTCGTTTTTACCAAAGGTGGATCGTACTGGAACCAATATCACTGCTAAAGTACTGCTACAGTTAACTTAACAGGCAAGCAGAGATAGACACAAGCATTCTATAAACAATTGTTGGCTTCAAAACACCACCTAATGTCTCTGAGGCTAACTAGAACATATTCATGGATGCGGAACTTAATCGAACAAATGAAAGGATTTTCATCCTTTTTTTTAAAGGGTTTCAAAATTGGACATCATAAATATGATTTCCGTACCACTAATAATAAACAAAGTATCTAAAACCTTAATGCGCATTCAGATAGATCTGTGCTAATCCATTCATCCTCAACTAATGAAATCATGATCAAGTCTACTCTAATTCTTAAATCACAGGTTCAATATTGGAAGCTTATTAAAAAAAAACTTTCCACAAACATATAATCGCTGTTGGCAGTAACTACAACTGATATCTCATTATTCACTTAACAATTAAATTTAAACCAACATATATGTAAAGATGACAAAAACAGGTCGACGGCAAGAAAAGCAAAATCATAAGCTCCTAGATGATTTGGAAGTGTACGTAAAGAACAGAAAAAAAAAAAAAAATTAAATAGAGAGCACACCTCTTCCTTATTCCCCCATCCATCATATGTAACATAATATCCATTTGGAGTGTGAGCCTCAACTGTTGCATCATACCTGCACACTCAACTAAATCAAGAACAGAAAACTCAACTAAAAAGTAAAGCAACTTTAAAAGAAACTCCACCCCCAAAAAAAAAAAAGTGGTAGCAGAGTTGAAGAGAATACACTAACCATTCACCATCTTCACTCCAAACAGCCTGAACTTTAGAGCCAATGGGAAACTTATTCGAATCAGGTGCAGGTCTTGATTCCTGAATCCAAATAAGGGGGGAACAGATATAGTAGTAAGTTTATTGGCCTGCTGGAAAAACTTTCTTGAGATTAATAAAAATACAAAGGTTCTTGCTGCTAAGAAGTGTTGCCCCTCAGTAGAATATATCTTGTTTTAATTAAAATATAATTATGAGCGATAGCAATTTCATGTAGCCAAACAGTTCTACTTAACAGAAAAACAGTGATAATCTGGAAGATACATTCCTTTAATTAATAAACATAAATACAATATTAGTAACAGAAACAAAGACTGAACACAGAAGACATTAAGAAAATTGTTCATTAGAAAATTCTCTCAACCAGGTGATGCAAAGAAAAATATGCCAACAGTCAAATCAAAAGCAAAAACCGACTCCAGAAGACGTCCTTGACGCCATAGAAAAATTATAAATACAACTCCAATTCAAAATTTGAATTCTCACAACATATTAGTAAAGGATGTACCTTAGAGAAATTTCCAGCGGGGCTTAAGCTAGATGACAGGTCACCACTGGTCCCAGCAGCCAATCCTGCATTTTCATTTTGTTTTGCGGTGGCTAGAAGCTCTTCAGTCAAAGATATCACCTGCAAGCCAAACAACTTAGCAAAACCCAAGCTCAGAATTAACCGTATCACTTAAGAGTCAAATAAATTTCAGGTGTTGTTCTTAAATTTCAAACTTAGAATCTGACATCTTAAATCACATGAAAGTAGTGGCTCGGCCATCAGGACTCATAGCAAACCTGCAATAAAAATGAAGACAAAAAATGATGGGCATCTTGATAAGGTCTCTAGCTCCAAAGTTCGCAAAAATCTCACAATTCTTACTCACCTCAGAAATGGTTACTTTGGAAAGTTCATACTAGTGTCAATACAGTACATAGAAAATAGAGGCTCTCTCTCACACAAAATAGACTTTTGCCAATAAGCACTATACTTATAAAGAAACTATAAACACATTGATAATCTTCCAATACAGGCATAGCATCTCAAAACAAATGATCATATGTCCATTACGCTTTTGCCATAACAGCTATATAGTAAGAGAACAAAGGAGAGATATACAAAAAAAAAAAAAAAGAAAAGGGATGTTGACTACAAAGGGAGAAAAAAATAGTAACCTCCACAAGCTCCTTCTCCATGTCCAAATACTCAGCATTTCCAGGCTCATCATGCAACAAGCTGCGGACCTGGCAGCAGGAAAAAAAGACAGATAATAAGATATTCTATTAAAATCTACTCATACTGGACCTTTCAGGCATTGCATACTTAATATTGCTGATGAACATAAAACACCAATGATAAGAACACACACTAATTACTTAGAGAAGTCTAAATCATAAGAAAATACTAGAACAGCATAACAATAGTATGATGATCAAAAAAGTACAAATAAAATTTCAAATTTCACTGCATCACAAGACTCATACCCATTCCTTTTCGACAATTCACAAACCGAAATAAAAAATTTAAGATAAAACTTCATCAATCAAAAAGATAGATATGGTGATAAGGTTAAAGTAAAGAAATCCGAGTTCACAGACATGCTCAGAAACTTAAACAATACAAACAACTAATCGACCAAAATAAAATTCAAAAAAAAAAAATAACATCAGAATTAAAACTCCGGCAAAAAATTGTTAATACTACTTGAAAAAGAACAAGCTGAAAGAGATAAATAGAAAAAAAAAAAAAAAGATTCCATAGGCACCTGTTGGAGCTGTTCTCTGTACGTAGAGAGATTCGAAGCGAGCTCTTCCACGCTAACTTCTTCATTACCGTCCTCCATTTATTGATTGACACAAAAAAAAATTTGGGGAAATTCAAATTTAATAATCAGAATTGAATTCAGTATAAAATACGCCTAGGTTATTGAATTCCCCTAAAAACAAAATTAACAAAATTTCCCCCAAAATTTGAAGCAAACCCTTTTGCTGGTGGTAAGTAAACAATGGTCAAAGGAGACGAGGGCTCTCTTTCAACTGGATTCTGTCCGGCGGAAGAAAGATAGAATTAATCTCAATTTACTGAGAGATCCCTATAATTTTGGAAACCTTGCTGATTTAGTACCTCATTATATATTACGACTGTTTTCACAGAAATCAAGGCCCAATTGCGAAAGCGTTAGTAGGCCCATTTCATTTTGAATTCTGTTAGCCCAATTAATACACGTCTATTGCGAGAAAGAGTTATTAGCTCAATTTCTTTTTGAAGTCTATTAGCCCATTTAATGCGTATACATATCGTGGCTGTTTAAGATGAGAATCATTTGCATTACCTTCAGTCTTAGCGCATGTTTGATAAAATTAAGTTTAATACTAAATTAAAAATGCTAAAATCATTAAGCAGTTACGAAATAAGTAATAAAATAATTTTAATTCCTTATATTTTGTACTGCTGTTTCAAAACTACTTAATTCAATAAAAGGTTCATTTTTTGTACCAAACAAGCTGAAATGGTAAAATATACTTAATCAAATAATTTTAAGTATTAAGAGGGATTATCAAACATGCCCTTAGCCTCCGTAATTTCTATGCATACAGTATTGGGCTTCATGGTCGTAGTAATGTTTTTTTGACACGGTGTGCGTAATGTTTTTGTTCCTTCCATTAAAATAGTTTACATTATAAATTTCTATATGCAACAAGAAATTATTATATCCTGGTTTATGTTAAAAACTAATTAAACAATAAATTATCAAAAAAAAAAAATTATCTAGATCAATGGTAATCATCAATTGTGTTCCAAAATATATTGTTCCTTACAATCAACACTCACTAAAAACGTAAAAACAACTATTTAAGGTTGACTTTCTAGTTTCATGAAATTGGTTCAACCCCACCTAATAATTAGTGTGTTTGTATAAGCAGCCAATAGTCTCCCTTGATTTCAAAATATATTCCACCAAGACTGATTATTTTAGGGTTTTCAGCTTTTCGGAAAAGTATATGAACAATACCTCCTACCTCGTAGATAAACACTGAAATCAATTCACTCTATTGTAGAGGAAACTTGTTAAAAGTAAGCGGACATCGCTGCCATACAACGACTACAATTGAGTTATGAGAGGGTACCAAGATGCAAAGACATGAGCTATAACTTTCTGTGGTGCCGGCCTGAACAACGAATGAATCTTGCAAAAGTAGGATATATATGATTAAACTTTAAAATTCGGTAGACATTAGTCAGATATATACCGTTGTAATTCTCTAAAAAAAAATAAATATTTGCATATATATATGTGTGTGTGTGTGTGTGTGTGTGTGTGTGTAAATGATCAAATTAATATTAAGAGGTAGATCTATATGATGCATGTGGAAGGTTTTGATGACGAATGGAAAAAAAAAGCGCACATTGCATGGAGAGGGGGCCATGCCACTCTTTTAGCAAACAATTTGATGAGCATTGAGGAAAGTGGTGTTAAATAACAAAGTGTTAGAAATTTTGGAAAAAGTCTCAAAAATACTCGATCCCATAGTGTGGGGGGGGGGGCCTGGCCTTTTCCTCCAACATCACAACTTACATGTTTCAGACATGTCCCTATAAGTAGAAAGCTATGTGTAGAGCTAAGTTGCACCCAATAATAATGTTGCTATGTACGTAAGATAGATTTTGCTAAAATTGAATCATCTTGTTTTCTCTTACGTCCCTTCACTTTTCCCCCTTTTGACTTTCAGGGTACAGCTCTCATTGTGTTTTCGTCAACAGCACTTGTATGTTTGCATGTAATCGTGGGTTAGGTTTTGTGTATCATGACTGGCTCTCAGAGTGCCGGGAGAGATGAGATCTTCTGTTCCGACTTCTGTGTGTATATTAATATTATACATTTTGTTACTGAATCAGTGTTACTTTGATTACTAATTAAAAGCAAGCATATAATTACATGTATATATATAAGTCACACTTGAAACTTTCGGAAATTTATTCAAGAAAAGTAATAATTACAATATAATAAGTGAAACGGATGATCTGATTCTAATATGGGGAGGGGGGACCTTGGCTTTTCGTCCAAGTAACAAAGAACAAAAAGGTACCAGCCACCATGGGCTACCACTTGTTTCATGCATGTTCTTTTCTTTTTCCCTTCCCCATCCAAATCAGGAGAACCAATTATAATGGCTAGCTCTCTCACTCGATTATTCTCCAAGGAAATCAATTGACGTACTAATGCAGAATTATTCTTTGGAGTTTCGCCTAATATCCGCCTGCTAGAACTACTACTACTACACACACTTATCTTGGCCCTTTATTGTTATGTTATTTTCAGTTGAAATCGTAAATTAGATGATAACCAGTGTAATAGAAGAATATTTATTACTTTGCCAAAAAACACATACGCTTGAACATTTTGTTGATTTATTTCGAGGATTTATATGATGATTACATTACATCATGTTTCTAGATTTTATCTCACTGACAGACAAATCACAATCACACAAATTGGAGGATTGACTTTTTTGTTAGATTATATATATAGTTGGATGTGTATGACGAAAAAGTTTTCAAGAAATAGATTGTGTATACCATGAATTTAAGATTCGTATTTCTCTTTCTCGATGAAATTCGCGATCTCTTATTATTGTTGTATCAATGAGATTACAAATGGTGAACCAACAACCGTAATTATAAAACTAGTAATCTAACAAATTCTTAAAATAAAACAACACCATTCATATCATATGAAGCCCATTTCTTGTGGGTTAATTAAATTGAAACCTTAATTAATTTTTACAGATATTTCAATAACACAACCCTCCTCTATGGGCACTATTTCCTTCTTTTCTTATTTTCCAATAGGCTTTTTTTTTTTTTTTAATAATTCCTTCCTGCCTCATACGAATAGGCTTAATTTGAGCATTTCCAATCAAGGAATGCTATCATCGCCAGCAATTTTTCTAGAGTTAAAACTACCAAAATGGCGTAAATCTTGGGCATTGGAATCATTATTCTGTAATAATTTGCTTCCTCCTGATGAACTGCCTTGAGAATTCCATCTAGCCCAAAAGAGATAATTGAGGAAGTTGATGAAGCTTAGAACTGCCAGCATCCAATAGAAATAATCCAATCTGTCCTTGTTGAGATTATTGTCACTCAGCCAGCCACCCTTTGATGAATGTGAAGTGATCTTGTTTACCAAAGAAACAAGAACTGAACTGAGGTAAAAACCAAATGAATATGAGCAGTAAGTAATGGCAGTTAAAAATGCTTGCATCCCTCTCAGTGATTGCTTGTAGAAGAACTCAATCAGCCCAACTGCTGTAAACATTTCCGAAACCCCAAATATCAGAAACTGTGGAGTAATCCAGAAAATGGAAATGATCTCATTTGAGTTCACAGCAGCATCTCTTCTCTTCTTCTCCATCAATGCAGCAGCCACCATTGAAAATGTTGACAGGAATAGCCCGAACCCGATTCGCCGGAGCGGGGAAACACCCGATTCGTGCCCGGTGATTCTTCTTGCAAAAGGGACGAAGCAGGAGTCATAGAGAGGGACTATGAAGATTAGCATTATGTAAGGGATTGCTTGAAGAGAAGCAGGAGGGATATGGAAGTTTTTGGTTAGTTTTGTGTTCATAGTGCTTCCTTGTTGGACTGAAAAGGTTTGTAGTTGTGCTAGGATTGTGTTGAATATGATTGTGCATGCAAAGATTGGGAGGACTGAAATCAGTAGCTTCACTTGCTCAACTTGGTTCACTGTGCATAGCCTCCATGGACTTTCCTTTCTATTGTTATTACCATCTTGATCAATCTTGATACATGCTTTGTCCAAAAACCTGTATAGAAATCAGATGCGATTTCACTGATGAGATACGATTAATATTAAAAAAAGTATCAATATTAAAAAAAGTAAAAAAAAAAAATCATATGAATAGTTTAATTTGTTAAATTGTTTTAAATTATACGTGTATATATATATATATATATATTTGTATTTGATATTATTTAATTTTTGAAAACAGAATTATTATTATGTGACGAAAGTGCGAATCCTTAAATGGAGAATATAAAATGAAGAAGATAAAGAAATAGGGACCTGAATCTTTGGGTATGATGAAGATCGCCCATATTTTCAGAGATTGGGATGATATTGATGCTGGCAGGGAGTTTTGTGTGGCTCCCATGAAGCATCTTTGGATCAGAAGGACATACTTGCTTTCTTTTGAAAAATGCAGCCACAATTACCTGAGATAAAATTGATTCATATTAATTACAACAACATTAAATTAATCAAAGGGAAAACAGAAAGAAAGGAGATGTCAATTTTTCCGACACAAAGGAAATGTTGGGTTATGAAATGGCAAATTCAATGATGGCTTTTCTTTCTTCCTAGAAACTTGAATAAGTGATCAAATCACTAACATTTTACTACATTGCTTTAGTTAATTTTTTATTGGAAGCTCAAGAAAACAACAATATTCAAGTTCCACTACACATTAAAAAACAGTTAATACGTGATCTATTTAATGTACAAGATTCCACCTAATTATTTTATTTGGTTAGTTCAAAGATCACCAAACGAAAGATGTAAGGAAAAAAGAAAACATTCAAAAAGTGAGTTCAATTTGTTCATAAAAAGCTATAAATGTCATTATCAGAGGGAGACATGCAGGCTTTTGAAATGACATAAAATACATAATGGAGGGTGGACAATATTGAGTAGAGTTGTAATGATCAATTAGGCTTTGTTGTGAGTTTATTTTGTGTTTTGTATTTTTGACTCAACGTTTAACATATTGAAAACCTTAAAGAAAAAACATGAATTCTTACTTGTGCTATAGGAGTGAAAATGCTTCCTTGAGGAGGCTTATTCCTATAAAGGAGTGTGCCACAAACCAAGCTGATCAATCCCATTGCCATAGAAGCAGCAGAAACACCAAACCCAATGTCCATTCCAGAATGTGTTTGGACATAAACTAACACAGTCAAAGCAATGAGTTCACCCATGGAGAAAGAAAAATAGGCAGCATTGAAGTATCTTGACAGCTTGTTGGATTCCTTTGGGTTTTCTTTGCTGAATTGGTCAGCGCCATGAGCAATCATGTTAGGCTTCACACAACCACTCCCTAATGCCACCAAATAGAGCGCCATGAAAAAAATTAAGGATTTGAATCCCTTTGCCTCTTCACATTTGTCACCATCAATCAACATGTTACATTTTGGAGGCTTTAATTGGGGGATGTGGGCTTGGACTGATAATAATATGAAACCCTTCGATAAAAACAAACATAAACTCAATTATCAACATTTCCTTAATCAGTTTAAACAAATCAAAGATTCTCCAAACTTGATTTGATTAAAAACAATTATCATGAACTAATGAAGAAATAAAAAAGTGGTTGCATGTACATGTACTATAAACATGCACATGCAAACATATATAATTGGATCGATTAAGACAAAACTTACATATATATGTATTATATATATATATATATATATATATATATATATGATGTAAGTCAGTTATTGTAGTTGTCAATATCTGAGAAAGGATAGGACAAGGGTGTGCTATGCACATCATTTTCTTGATGTACCATACTTTGGTCAATGAGCAACACTTATTAATCAAAAGAACCATGCATTTTTACACTTGTACACAATAATAAGCCTTAGAAAATGTGTATTTTGCCAAAGATCTCCAACTCTCTCAATAACTCTTATTCATAATATGATACAATCGTAACGTTTATATTTATCTGGTAATAATGAAAGTAACCCTTATGATAAATTAATCACACCCACCAAAATATACAAAAGGCTATTGGCTTTCCATCATGAAGCATACTGAGAGAGGGGGAGAGAGAGAGAGTGAATGGAGAGAAGGGACCAACAAGGCAATAACTATCTTAGCTAGAAGAGAAAAAGAGAGAAGAATATCATCAAATTAGCTATAGAAAAGAGAGAAGAAGGGGAAGAATTACCGAAAGCTCAACAAAGCCAAAAATGAGCATGGTCCAAAAGCATCCAAGATAAGAGTCGGAGAGGTATCCTCCAAGCAGCGCAAGAATGAAGACCGTCCCAACAAAGTTGGTCACTATGTTTGCTGATTTCGACAGTGAGAAATGCATCTCATTTATCAAGTACGTTATCAGGTTGTTCCCAACTGCCGCTATCGCCATTATCTCAAATCCTTGTAACCCTGCACGGAAATTTATTCTCCATTTAAAAACAAATTAAATGCATCAAAAATAATATTCAATCATACACACCTTCTCCATATGATAGTTAATATACCAAAAAAATAAATAAATAAAGAATGAGGAGGACTGCAAAATCAAAACATGGCAACAAAAGGCCACCCACACACACACACACACACACAAAGATTGAGAACATGCAATCATTTCAAGTTTTCTGAAATTATGGAATAACACAATAAACCCAACTCCTAAAACAAAGCTATGGACAAATTTAGCACAGAATTGAAAGCACTCCTTTTTTTATATATCAGGATTCTGAAAATCCCTCAAAAAACAAATCCCCCACACACACACACACAGTAGCTGATGAGATTGATACAGAAGAAGATATATATATATGGTGATATTAATGTACCAAGCACAAAGGCAGCAGCAGCCATTCCACCATGCTTGTTCGGTTGTGAAGGTCTGCCCCTCCAGTCAACCGTCTGCATCTCTTCACTTCTTACGTTACTGTTATGATTTTGGTGCTGATGATGATGATCTCCTTTCTCCATATCCATGGCAGAAAGAAATTAAACAAGTCACCCCTTTTTGATTTCTAACACTTGTGAGATAACAGAATATATGTAAGATTAAACAGCTGGCTGTATCAACTTTTTTTAGTCTCTTTGGGAAAGACTCTTTTTTTGTGTGTGTGCTTAGAATGAGTTTCACCAATTTATAAGGAGAATCAAATTGGTGTGAGGCGTGTAGAGAGATTTTATTATCTCTTTGTTGTTATGGGAATATTGTTGGAAGGACCATTGGGATATCCTACCTTTTATATACAATACTTACACCTACCTCCCTATTGGTGCTTTCTTTCTTTTTTCTTTCTTTTTTTTTTTTTTTTTGGTGGGGATTGTGGTAAGCACATACTATATTATGATATTTTCATGGGTTATGTAAGTTTAACAATTTAACATTGACGTACATTACATATCTCGTTAGAGTATCTGCATAGATAAATAATTATTGAGAGATTTATTTTCAAGATATATAACTAATTCAATTGTGTCGAAACGGATCAGTTTGGGTGTGTGATATGTGTCTGTTTAAAATTATTTTATAGTTTTTGTGATTAAAGAAAAGATGTATCATATGTGGTACCATCTAGTTAATAGGTAAGTGGTTTGAATTCAACAAATTTATGTAGGTGCCAATATTGAAATTTAATTTTTTGGTAAGTGGTTTATAAATTTTCATGAGCCCAGTTAATTATTACCCGCAGCAAACCACTATATTTTTTATTTTCTTTTCTAAATTTGATTTTCACGTATCTCATTTACAACGTGTACTTAGCTCTAAATTCATAACCAAAAACAAAATTCAACTTCCTGCAATTTGACTTGTTGAGAAAAAAGAAAGATTGAAAACTAGGAGCAAATGACATGGCCACAAATGTCTTATCATTCTCCAACAATTATTAACCTATGGGCTATATATTTGTTGTGGGGGGAAAAAATAAAAAGGAAGAAGAAGGGAAAAAGATAAAAGGAGGCGCAACTAAAGGGAATGCTAATGTTCAACCTTCCATATTGGAAGACATGTTGGCTTAATTTTTTTATTTTTTCTTATGCTCCATAGTTCACATTATAGTGAGTCGATCGGTCCAGTACAGTAGTGCCACTAAGTATAATTGTTTTAGCTCAAAAACTCTCAAATAGGCATAAATTATTTGGTAATCAATCTGTGATATTCAATTTTTGTGTACACAATGTCTCATATTTCAGAAAGAAAATAAGAGTTAATCAATCTCTTTCGAGCCCTAATTCGATAATTAGTGATTTCAATCCCATTGATCATGGCACTTCTTCTTCAGCTTTTGCTTATTGATTCCGCAGTACAATATTATATATTTCGTCTGATGCCTCAAAATAAGAATGATATTTATTTATTAAGTTATTTTAATATCACAAATAAGAGTTTTACTTCAAGACATATATAAAGGGTTTCAGTTATTTATCTCTTAGAATGTAGTAGAAGACGATTACCCTTTTGATCAACTATGGTGATGATAATGTATGTTAGAAATTTAGAGCAGAAAGACAATAGAACCAAAGTCAAAAAGTTTGTCCGCTGTGAAGACCATCCTATGAATTATTACTGCCAATTACATCGGTATATTGACCAATTACATTAGTCCGAAGATTAACAAATCAGAATCAAAAGCAGCAAAGCCGACCATATCTTCATTCCCGAAATGATTAGACAATTTGAATTTTCATTTTCAGTTCATTATATTAAAAGTGAATTCTCAAATTAAACAACAATTTTAAGACAGAGAGAATAATTTTTTAAAATTTATGTTTTTTTCAATAACCGTAAAGATTAACACGTACATACGTGAATGATCCTATAATTAATACTCTTAACTAAGTTCTTCCCCACCAAAAGAAGAAAGAAGAAGAAACTATACTAGTAAATTACTAACGAAATAGGTAAATAAAGAAAAATTTGAATGTAATTCATTTGACTACAATTTCTATCAGCTATGGAAAGTAGAGAGTCAACGCTTGGTTGGTATAAACCTTTACAGCATATGGCTGGTTATTTTCTTTCTCGTCTACGTGTTTTCCAAGTACCCAGAAACGGGATAAGGCCTTTTGTTTTCCTTCCTTTTGACCAAGAAAACAATAATCGAAAGAAAAAGGGCGTTGAATATAAGAGAATACGTGTGGGGGAGAAAGAGAGATGACAGAAGAAAGGCTTTCTGCAAAAAATTTCAAGCATCATTATTTCAAAATTAAAAATAGTTGGTTATTTTATTTTTAGAGTATATATTTTATTACGCATGTGAATGTGCACGTTTGGAAGTGGCTGATGCAGCAACCCAAACACAATCCCCCCTTCCCTATCCATATCCAATTGGATAAGATGGCTATAAAATTTAATTTCATGTTCATATATACATACATTCATATGGTTTGTTTGGAAAATTTTTTTTTTTTTTCATTTTCTGAGTATATATATTGTTGCACACTATTTGGATGGAGCTCCCAACAATTTCAAATTTATATTACACATAATTTGACACTCTCAAAAATATGAAATGAGAAAATTACAAAAAGAAAAATTCTGAACTTGTGTTTTTTTTTTTGTTACAGAAAGAGAGGCAACAAGCCTAGTTTCAACTTAGCACATTTCTATGATATACAACACTTACTATATCAAGCTTCAACCACGGTCTGACGTCTGACAGGGGGTCATTAAATCTCTGTAGTTCGCCCGGTCCTTGAGCTGCTAATGAAGCCATATAATAAGTCACGAAATTCGTCTCCCGAAACACATGTTTAAGCTCCACAACCCATTTTCTCTTCAGCAAATCACGAATTTCATAAACGATACTAACATTAAGGCCAGCATTAACTCGTGGTTTTAATTTTTAACACATTCGAACTTGAGATCTCTTACATAACTCTATGCACTTTGATGATCACTAAAACATGTGAATGCTAGTTATTAATTACTAGAATACTCGTGATCTATTTGGAAAAAATTTTCACATGTGACTGACGAAGAATAACACAATCAGGATGCAGTCTTAGAAAATGATAATATATTTGACATTATTTTATTAAGTACTCCCTCCATTTTGAAATATATATTGTTTTAGAACTTAGTGATTTTTTTTTAAATATATGTCGTTTTCACATATCTAAGCATATTTGACCACTTTTTACCAATATTATCCTTGCATTGGAAATGAAACATTATTTATAATGAGTCTCTATTGGTTTGTGATGAATTATATAGACAATAAATAAAGGTATTTTTGTATTTTAACTACATTAATTAATGTTTTCTTAGTTTTTATCATTTTTCTAGAAAGACATATAAAAAAAATAGAGGAAGTATTTGATAAAGTCACACTTATCCTGGCAATCATTTTCTGAATTAATTTAATTTGTAGTATATACACATAACTTTCAGTGCTTAAGATTTCCAGGACGTCAACAATCAACATTCGACCATAGGATATGTTTTCCCAAGCTCCTTTTAATTTCACAATATTCAAAACGTGTTCACCTTTTTCTTCCACTTCTTTCTTCTAGTTTTTTTTTTTTTTGGTTCAAAATGATTATTTTATTTGAATTTCTAATTTTATTAGTTCAATTTATATGAGAAAAAGAAAATCTAATCTAGATAATCATTTAAAACTAAAAATTATACATCTTATAAATAACGTTTAAAAGAATAATCTACGTACATCACCTAAACAAATAAAATAATAAATAATCTAAACTGAATAACCTAAGTACATCATAAACTGAATAATCATAAATAAAAAGGAAAAGAATAACCTACGTACATCACCTAAACTGAATATACGGTTCCAATTGTTGTGTCAAATCACATTATGAATGCTTAACGAAAATAGTTATAGACTACTTTTTCAGTTTAATTCTAATACTCTGACCCTCGTGTAAAGAGGCCTCAATTGCTAAGGGATTATGAGAAGAACGAAGAGATCAAAGGAAAAGCGGCTTAATCTCTTGCCGTTGTTTTTGATATTAGGGTAGGTTATATACAGTAAACTACGTATCAATCAATCCCTAGAATTACGGTATACAAAACCCTAACTAAGGTAAATTATAACAATTACAAAGATAACACACATATTTACTATATATACATCGTAATACCCCCCTCAAGTCGGAGCATGCAGGTTCCGAATGCCCAACTTGGCAAGAAAATACTCAAACTGGGTTTTACCCAGAGCCTTCGTGAAAATGTCCGCCAACTGAACATGAGTAGAGACATAACTCGGAAGAATGGTACCCTTTAAGACTTCATCTCGTAAAAAATGACAGTCAACCTCAATATGTTTCGTGCGTTCATGAAAGACCGGGTTCGCGGCAATATGTAAAGCACGACTATCACAAGATAGCCGAATAGGATGAGAATGTGCAACACCAAGAAAATGCAATAAACCCTTCACCACTTCAACTCACAAACAAGAGCGGCCATAGAGCGATACTCGCCTCAGCAGACGAGCGAGCAACCGTCTGTTGTTTCTTCGTTTCCAAGAGATTGGGACCGACCAAGCCGAACAAACCAGCCAAGAAGAGAACGGCGAGTCAACGGACAACTAGCCCGGTCGAGAATCGCACCAGCCCGGATAAGGTAAGTCCGATCGCCCGAAGAAGAATACCTGGCCTGGATTACCCTTCAGAAACCGCACAACGCGAAGAGCAGCGTCCCAATGAGCCTGCATAGGTTTCTGCATGAACTGAGCAAGAGTATGAACACTATAGGACAATTCCGGACGAGCGATAGCCAGATAGATCAAGCGACCCACCAAACGCCGATAACGTTCAGGATCGGAAAGAGGAGCCTCAGCAACCGTCGAAAGCTGGTGATTCTGTTCCATCGGAAAATCAGCGGGCTTAGATCCCAATAAGCCAACCTCAGAAATGATATCTAAGGTGTATTTACGCTGACACAGAAAAATGCCAGTAGAGTTGCGAGCTACTTCAATACCCAAGAAGTATTTGAGAACACCCAAATCCTTCATATGAAAACATCGGCTCAAATAATCCTTAAAGGACTGAATGGCAGAGCTATTATTGCCGGAAATAATCAGGTCATCAACATATACCAAAACTGTCAGCTGAGTGGTGCCACGACACAAAACAAACAGAGAGTAGTCAGAGGCCGACTGTGAAAAACCATACCGGCGTAAGGCACTGGCCAATTTGGCAAACCAACAGCGAGGAGCTTGCCGAAGACCGTAAAGAG